TTAATCAGACATTTTGCTGTAAACATTTAATTTAGGCGTAACCCACATAAAGTGGGGATGCCCTTTTAAGGAATAGATTGGGTGGTCTGCCTGGCCAATGGGAAGTTTGGTTTCCAGGAATTATAAACCAATCAGAATGCAGAAAGCTGAAGAGCTGCAAAATGCTGCAGAGCCTTCTTCCCCGTGTTGGCATTGTTGGTTGTGTGCGGGAAATCCAACTCTGATGAGACGGCAGATCTATGTCGAGTGAGTCTTTTGAGATGTCTTTAATGTTGCACACCAACTTTGAAGGAACCTTTTTTTTTTTGTAAATAGTTATTGTTTATAGTCCAACTTCTAAGCTAGAAATAGCTGAAAGTTCCAGGAAACTGAACTTCAGTTTTTCTGCCGTTAGAGCTGTTAAGATCAGTTAGAAATGTTAGCTCTTTCTGGTAGTTGTTCTCCGTTCAACTGAAGTGCCCTACGTATCCGGACTGAGAGTCACCATATAGTTGTCCTGAACGTTAGCACCGAGATCATCAGGTTTTTTTTTATATATACATATCCTGGATTTTTCCTGAGGTGGATTCCCCATGTAACTTTCCTGAGGTGGATTCCTCCATTGACCTTGATGGCGAGCCTTCACACCTGGACTTCGAGAGAACTGGATTTCTTCCTTTGCGTTCTAAGCCCTGCTGCACCCTGTGGTGTGGTAGGCATCTCCAATAGCCGAACCTATTGGCCCATCTATCTAAAACATATTAAATCCTTCTCTACTGTGTTACATAAACAATCAAAGCAGATGAAAGAGACCATCTTTAAACATTTAATGTGTTCAGAGTAAACAAAGATAAATGTTATGAAATAGATCACACTGTTCTACCCTTTAATTTGTCGTAAAATAGATTTTTAGTGTTAATTTTGTGACAGTACAAAGTTATTTTGAAGGTCAGGGATGGGACAGAAAATCAGCCACTTCGCTTATTTTTGCACTCAGTCACACCTGAAGAGGTGCATCTGTCAGAACCAAACCAATGGAAGTATGTGCCTACGGAGCATAATCCAGTTGACCATGCTTCTCGTTCAGGTCAAGCCTCAAAGCTCATTAAGATCAGCTGGCTCACAGGTCCAGCGTTCTTACGTAAATCACAGACGACCATTGAACAGCAAGAGACCTTTGAGCTCATCAATCCATATGTGGTTGCCAGGCGACTGTGCCAAAAAGGCAATTCCATGTTTCGTAAGCGAGCAGAGTCCGAAACTAAGGCCCTGTTTACACGACAATTTCTGGTGAAAATGGAAGAGTTTTGTTGCGTTTGTGCTGTACATTTACATGAAACCACTGAATGTTTTGTCTGACAATAGTACAGATTGAAAACGGGTTTCAGAGTGCAATGATTCTGAAACATACCGGTGTTTGTTGTCTTGTAAATAGAATAAGTGGATCTTTTCTTTCAGAGAATCCCTAGCTCATGCATAGTATGACGCAAAACATAGCTGCTTCCTACAATCCACAGAAGAAGAAACTACTGACAATGCTGGTGTTACTACAATTTGTGGTTTCCCCATCAGATACGGTTCCCTCAGCATCACTTCACCGCTCTCTAAAAGTAGCAAAATACACGCGTGCTTGTTCAGCGTTCATAACAAGCATTCACTTGTTAAGTGTTTTTAACCCATGTACTTCAGACACAGTTGAAAGCTCAAACAATGTGTTTCAGAGAAGTTATCCCACTTTTTTCCAACTGCGCCCTAATCAGATGTAGTGCGCGTTTTCCCCCCAGTATCTGGGGAAACCGTACCTGATGGGGAAGCGCGAATCGACATGCTTTTAAGTAGATTTTTTTTTTAAAACACATGCCCACTTAGTTTCACAGAACCTAGCACCAGCTCTCGAGCCCTGATTATTCAAAGAAGAGAATTGTCAGTGACATTCTTTGGAAGGTGTTTGAAAAGGTTGCAGACATAACCTTTGACCCCCTGGGTAGCTGACAGCACACTGTCAGCTACTTCGTCAAATTGCAAGAGAAACTGGGAAACTTAAGCTGTTCCTTGCGATGGAAATGTCAGACAAGCTAAGCGAAAAGAATCTTCCAAGGCATCGCCAGCGATTCTTTCCATATTTCTAGCGAGTTGCATTTGTTCGCTGTACTTTTCTACCCAGCTGTGTATCCGAGGATAGTAGAATAATTCAAGTATCACCTGGAGAATCCCATTCTTCCTGTGCGAGAAAATGGATAGATTTCTCTCATTTGTAAGAACAGCGCTCAAAAATGCTTTGTTTGAGACTGAGAGCTTGTATTCTAATGAAAACTGCCTAACCGAGATTCGCACCATTGCTTCTGAAAGGAGAAAATCATTGATACAGCACATAGAAGTAATCAAGCATGGAACTGAAGAGGAACGTCGTAAGAAAGAAGTTGTGTGGAAACTGACAGTTATACATCTGTCATCCCATACAAACTTAAAGACACTGTACCAGTCTTCGAAAGGCTTTCTGGGATAGTGTGGGAAGAACTAAAAGAACAAGACTTCCCAATTTTCAACAAGATGAATAAAAAACTCAGCAAAGACATCTTCCAACTTCTAACTGGAAATGAGGATGTGGTAAGAGATAGACTCTTCTATCTCATAGAAATGGGCCACCCAATTGCAGATCACAAGATTCTATGTTGTTTCAAAAGAGTCTTCACACATCCCAGAAAAGTGCATTTCCCTCTGACAACTGCTTGGAAAAACATCAAATTTGCGTGTAAATCTTTCTGTCGTGGTGTTAAAGTTCATCCAATCCAACAAACTCTGGAGACTGAAATAAGTGAGGATAAAGAAGAAGATGTAATTGAATTCCCAGCTTCTCGCAGACAGTCTATGGACTTAGGGGGTTTAGAGTCCCATAAACAGTCTTCAGACGTGGAGGTTAAGATTCCCGTCGAGTCTTTAGATGTGGAGGTTCAGATTCCCGTCGAGTCTTTAGACGTGGGGGATCAGATTCCTGTCGAGTCTTTAGACGTGGAGGTTCAGATTCCCGTCGAGTCTTTAGACGTGGAGGTTCAGATTCCCATCTACAGTCTTTAGACGTGGGGGGTTCAGTTTCTTGTGAAATATTTTATTTTCCATTGTTTTATCATCACTCCGAGGTCAGCAAAAAAATAAACTATTTGTCGCTTTATTATTGTAGCCATATCCTCATTGTTCCCTTTCTTACAAATCTGAATTTATTGGGAGCATCATTAAATATGAATGAATTTCAATTGATGGTTTGATGTACTCCCTGTGGTGCATGTGCGGGTTCTCTCCGGGTACTCCGGTTTCCTACTACAGTCCAAAAAAAAACTGTATATATATCTATATATATAAATATATATATATAGATATATATAATACATATATATGTATATATACATGTATATATATGTAGAGTAGTAGAAAAATTCAAGTATCACCTGGAGAATACAAATATATAAAATAAATAAAAAAATTCCCTTCTCACCCACCGTGGGTGGTTCTTATCCTCTGAGCTCGGGTCCTCTACCAGAGGCCTGGGAGCTTGAGGGTCCTGCGCAGTATCTTGGCTGTGCCAAGGACTGCACATTTCTGGACTGAGATGTCTGATGTTGTTCCTGGGATCTGTTGTAGCCACTGCTCCAGTTTGGGGGTTACTGCCCCGAGGGCCCCGATGACCACAGGCACTACTGTGGTCTTCACCTTCCAGGCCCTTTCCAGTTCTTCCCTGAGGCCCTGGTATTTCTCCAATTTCTCGTGCTCCTTTTTCCTGATGTTGTAGTCGCTTGGTATTGCTACATCTACCACAACGGCTTTCCTCTGTTGTTTATCCACTACGACAATGTCTGGTTGGTTCGCCATTACCATTCTGTCTGTCTGGATCTGGAAGTCCCACAGAATCTTAGCTCTGGCGTTCTCCACCACCTTTGGGGGTGTTTCCCACTTTGATCTCGGGGTTTTCAGTCCATATTCTGCACAGATGTTTCTGTACACTATGCCTGCCACTTGGTTATGTCGTTCCATGCATTCATTTCCCTGCCAGTATCTTGCACCCACCGCGGATAAGAACCACCCGCGGTGGGTGAGAAGGGAATTATATATATATTATATATATACACACATATATATACATATATAAGTCCTTTCTTCCAAATCAGCTTTTTAGGTTGCTGTCTGTCAGAGCCTGTGAGGTTTCATGTATGTAAACTTCTCTGGCTTACAAAGAGCTTCGTCACTATAACCGCCTCGTATTGGCTCCAAAATTCTTTCCTAAGCTAACATTTCCGTTTAATTTGTCAGTAATTAGCTTAGTCAGTCTCACTGTAGCATTACTGTGCTATTAGATGGGGCGTTTGCGTTGGTCTCACTCACTGCCGCCTGTCGGGGCTCTGTACTCGGTTTCATCCCTCGGTTTGCTCATCGGTTCTGGTGATGGGGTCGTTATCCAGGCCGCCTCCATCTTCGTCAGCAATTTCTCCTGCTTCCCGGGTTTCAGCACCAAAAATGCTGTATATTCGACGAATGCAAAGACGAAAAGAAGTCGGGTGGATTATTCAGATGAACTTTCGTGAATAATAAGGTTTGAACGAATCATACATAATGACAGAGTGCAGAGTCTCGGCTAGCTAGCTCTTTTCGGGAAAACCCCTCCAAAACTTTTCTTCGTCTTTGTCTAACTTCAAGTTCTTCTTCTACTAGTTCTAAAGCATCATGGGATATAGAGTCCATTCTGTTAAAGTTCCACAAATAGTCCGTTTTCAACCAGATACTATCAAATGCTAACTAGATCTATGAAATAACTGCAACTCAGATAGTTACATATTAAATTATTATATCCCAAATAATAAGTCTTAAACAAATCCTGGTTAAACCCAAAACAAATTCTCAACAATCACACTGGCCAAAAGATAACCCGAGATGCAATTTCCCGAAGTTTCTACTGGCCTGGAATGACTGGAGACATAGATAAATTGGTAAAAATACATATAAAATAATTGAATACATGCATAACTCAAATGTGTGCATAGATATATTTCCTTTATTTAACTAGGTAAACCCCGTTTTACCTGGATCTCATTTTCAAGAGGGATCTGAGCAGAAGTCTGCAATACACAGTAACCTGTTTACAAAATAAAACCAAGTAATGCATATTCACAAGTATAAAACAATAAAAACAAGTTAAAAGCAGTTAGTTCCGACTGAAGTTGATTCCACGCTGTCGCAGTCAACACACTGCTTGCTTCCCTTTTTCAGTTTGAACACGTGGGAAATGCAGAAGAATAATGTTGTTAGAGCGCAAAGAATGAAAACTAACAGATCTATGTAAGAGAGTGCATAAATATGCTGGGGTTAGGCCGAGAAGAGATTTATATATCAACATCATCAAATGATTGTTTCTCGGTACACTTAAAGGAGGCCATTCAGCTTTTGCACACAAATCACAATGAGGAGTAAAATGTCTACTACCAGTTATAAATCTTAAAGCACAATGATTACAGTGATCAATAATTGAAGACATTTGGTTGAGGCATTCATATATAAAACATCTCCATAATCCAAGAGTGGCAGGAATGTCACTGCTATTAATTCACTTCTCGCTTTGAGAAAGAAACAAGATCCATTTCGATAATAAAATCCAATCTTCATTTTCAATGTTCGTAATAAATTTGCTATGTGATTTTTAAAAGAAAGTTCATCATCTAGAATAAAATTGAGATATTTATAATGACTGACAAACTCAATTTGTGTACCTACAGCAGTGATAAGCAATAGAGGGATTTCTGGTAGTTTTCTAGAGTGAGAAAACCATTGCCTTTGTCTTATCCACTTACAAAACCAACTTCAGAGTTTGTAAGTGTGTTTGAACTACATAAAAAGCAGAATGTATATGCTGCATTGCCTGAGACAGAAATGAAGAATAGCAGTACATTATTAAATCATCTGCATAAAAATTATAAAAGGCTTTTGACAAATTGTCTCTATTATATAAATAGAGAATAAAAGTGGACCAAGAACTGAGCCTTGAGGTACGCCATTTAAAATAGTGAGAATAGAAGAAGTAAAGCCAGCCAATTGAACTCTCTGGGTTCTGTTGGACAAATAGACAGCTACCCACATGCTAGCTTGATGTGAGAGCAAAATCCAGGAAAATTGCAAAATTGGAATTTCAATTAAAAGCGTGTGACTTACGGTGTCAAATGCCTTTGATAAATCAACAAACAAAGCAACACAAGAGCCTGTATAAGATTATTGAAAACCTTTAAAGTGGAATTAACAGTTCTATGTTTTTTTCTAAAACCAGATTGTACATTTTGTGAAACACAATTAGAATCTAAAAAAATCTTTGATTGGCCACACTGGCCACTGAGCAGCCATGCCTCTTCCCCACTGTCTCCAAGGCGACATTTACCTGCGATGATATACATATATGACATAGTCTTGAAGGAAAAAAACTAAATATTATGGTGAAATTTCAATATTTTAAAGCAAGTAAATAGTTTAAGTTTTAAACAAATTCATCAATTTTATTCCCTGAGAAGTTTTTTTTATCATTATTTTCTGCTCCTCTTCCTCACTGACCTGCCAGATCCTGTCTGTCATCCCGCCCCTCCCCCCCTCATCTCCTGTACTCATCCCCACAGTCTCCTATGAGCGCCATCAGGTCGGTGGAGCGCCGCGTCACGCCCTCTATGGCTGCGTGATCCTCTGCTGTCAGCTGCAGCTCAGGGCTGCAGCTGCGCAGGCTGTCACCGATGTGCTGCCCCGCCCCGGCAACGCCAAACCGACACCCGACGATGACGCCGCCTACGGCCGGGCGGTCCAACACGTAGCGTGTGGCCACGCTGGCCACTGAGCAGCCATGCCTCTTCCCCACTGTCTCCAAGGCGACGAGGAGGTCCTGGAAGAGAGTCCATCCACCCCAGGAGTCAATCATGTTCTTGTACTTGGAGAGGGAAGCGGTGTTGAGCTCCGCCCGCGAGCTGGGCTCCACCTTCCCCGAGTAACGCTCAGAGAGCAGGCCGCCGGCTGAAGAGGGAGGAGGAGGAAACGGAGACAAGGGAGCATGATGAGTATGATGAGGAGGTGGAGGCAGGTCGACATGAGAAGCAGCTACGGAGGACTGACTCCATTTTGGAAAACCACCATTTTACCATCGGCTCTGTTTTAAATAATTTACATGCTGTAAGTTGTGCCTCACCCAGCGTTCCATACGTGAGGAGCTTTATGTTGTTGGCCACGCAGAACTGCTCCATCCTGGCTGCAGGTCGCTGGTCGATCAGAGAGTACTGCACCTGCAGGCAACAGCAGAGACGTGAACGTAGGAGAGGAAGGAGAAAAAGAAAATATGCAGGCCAGTGTGGTACCTGATTGCTGGAGATGCAGATGCCTTTCTGAGTGATCTCCTCCAGTCTCTGTGTGTCAAAGTTAGTGAGGGCAAGCTCTCCTAGTAAACAAAGAGAAAATACGTTTCGACGAGTTGACATGAAACTTCTATAAAGAGAATATTTTCCTTTTCTTTTTGCTGAAAAAAAAAAACAAACTGAAATTTTACCAATAAAAAATATTCTCAAATTTCTGCCTTCCTGCCAAATTGGTTAGAAACTACATCGATGCCATCATTATTCATTTATCTGTGTGATGAGCGCATAGGGAGAATGAGATCTCTCATACGTATGACTCCCTCCTTCTGCAGGTCAGACAGGTGTCCAAGAGCATCCAGGTATCGCTTGTCTTTGTAGTCCCACCAGTGGAACTGAACACAGTCCAGGGCCTCCACCTGCATCCGGCTCATGGAGCGCTGCAGCGCCTTCTCCACCACCTGCAAACAGAGCGGCACAAACGAATATTTAGCTGTAACAATGAGCCAATCAACGCCCAGATCAAACAGGAATGAGAGGCAGGTGTAACTGCAGTGACTCAGGAGTGTAGTGCAAAATGCACGCCACGTTTCAAAAACAAATATTTTCAAAGCATGAAAACCTTAAATGTGTGAAAACCTTAAATATGTCATTCCCCTCACAATTACCCACTACTTTATGTTTGTCTACTATTTAATCCCAGTTTAATTACATGAAGTATGGTATTGTAATGTGATAAAATATTGAAAAAGTTCAAAGATCATGACTACAGCATCTATATGGGGTACAGACCAATATGAGTTAGTCTGTGCCTCATAGGGATGCTGTGCTTTGGTCGGTACATTTTCGAAATTGTAAAATAGGCAGATCACAAAAATTTTTGAAAGATTTACACTGCCCCCTGGTGGATAAACACTTGCATCACAAAAACAACACAAGACGGCTCACCCTGCGGTCCATCGGTCCTGGTCGGGGAACAAATTTCGTCAGACCCTGCAGAGCTGGAGCTGCACTTCCTGAGGATTTCAGCTGGAGAGCAGAAGAATTATCTTGAAATTACAATCGATGTTGAACATCAATTAGTTTTAATCCATTATAACCTGTTTTGGCTGATCTGATCCTTATAAACTCTTGACATATTTAAAATCATCCCAAAAGGGGAATATAAATGTTGACAAATGTCTTCTGAATAGCTGTAGGCTGTTCAGTTACATTCACCATGACCGTGCTCCAGGTTAAAGGTCACTAATGGTCACTCTATGTTTATGTTGAGCGACTGTTTCTTTGCAAAATTATTAGGGGATCAAATGCTTTCTCGCCCGTGTTCAAAAGACGAAGTTTGAAAATCTAGCACAAATCTTCCACAGAAATTCCCAGCATGAATCCATATTTTAGTAAAGCTAACTCCAGACTGCAAGAGAAAAACATTTCTGAGAACACACACAGATCTTCATTCTGCAGGACCAAGATTTAACTTAATGTCAAAATTTGGACCAATGCAAGAGTAGCCTTTTACACTTCCATTTAGTAACTCTTTGACTAATTAAAATGTTTAAAACCTGCATAAACATCTCAGTTAGGAGCACATGATGAGATTACTCTACACGTATTTATTTATTTATCCATTAAAGGATGAAAACTAGTGAAATCACACTGAAGTGGGATTGTGAATTATTTGAAATGTCTGTGTCCACCTGGTTATTAAACAGTCCATATATCTCTTCAGCCGGTCCATAAATGTCTGCCATGTCAAATGTGGTGAGTCCAGCGTCCACATAGGCCTGCATGGCCTCGACTGGAGGAGGGAGGGCAGAAACAGACAGTTATCATCACAGCCATGTGTCCTCCAGAGATAAGCACAGAGTATGTTCCTGCTGAAATGTGATCAAATTCATCAACACCTGAGCATGGCTTTGCTGTCACTGAGTCTCAAAAGCACATTTACTGCTAAAATCGGATTTCAAAATAAGCTTTACCGAACTTTACTAAAGATTTTTGGAGCTCTTTCGAGTCAAAGTGTGTCCTAAATCTGTTCTAGCAATTAAAAACTAACCTGATTATACATTTTTACTTGAAAGGTGGCCCAGAAGTCTTGTTTAATTCTTCTTTCACAGGTCAAGAACTCATTTTTACTTAATTTTTGCCGAATAAAAATGCAAAAATATGTATTGTGTCATCTGAAAGCAGTCAAACTTTCCCAAAAATAATTTCTCAATTTCTTCCGGCTGCTGAGAGATCACACAACATTCTTTAAATGCTATGTTTACGTTCAGGCTTACTGACATTTTTTGTTCATATAATTTGCGTTTAGTTTAATTATGCCAAAGCTTTGACTTTACCATATATGTGTATATATTCTAAAGTCTGAAAGCTTGATGAAACTTTTGAGATGCAGAAAAATATTTGGATTCTTGTAAAAGAAGATGCGTTCAACCCAGTAGAAGAATTCATTGATTTTACTGCCAATGTTCAAGAAATCCACTAAATTAAAAGTTTATGCCTTTCTGTAACGTCACAACACTTAACACTACATTTAAAGTTCCTTTAAAAGACCCATAATGTATATATTTGTTTTAATCTAGATTGTTGGAGATAAATAAAATGGCACTAAATGCCCTTCTGGCATCTCAGAACTAATCGAAAACGACTCGCCCTTAACGGCACCCGTACTCTTTTACCTTAAGATCTAATGTATGTGCGCAGCTAATTTTCATACCTCATTCCTCAACTTCTCAAAAAATAATAATAATTAAAAACAATGCAAACTGAACATTATTAAATACTGCGTCTACCTGCTTTGGTTTTGTTCACGGTTCCGTGAGCGCCGGACACCTGCCACATCCCGTTCAGGACCCGGCAGACCTCCAGACCTCCGGCCAGCCTCACTTTGGGAACCGAGGAGGACATGCTGCTGTCGGGACAGGTTCTCCACTTCTCACCGCCGTGAGAATAAAAACCAGAAACACAATTAAACCCAATTTCCATTGCAGCGACGTTGAATGACTTTAACTGGTAGTATGTGTTACTTACATAAAATGCTCTTGAAGTCTAGCTGCACCCAAATCTCACTGCTCGTGCACGAGAAGCTCAAGGCTCATTGATATATTACAAAACACTTTGAGTAAGCGTTACAAAACATACGGCTCTGTTAACCACTAGGTGGCGCCCTTTCGCTGGAAATATGGCTGCTATCCCCTACTGGACAAAGTTAAAGATCTAAAACCCTTCAAGCAATAATAAAACAAACATTTTGAAGCATTCAATAACGAGTCAAAGAGCGATAACTTGAGTAAGAAATTATCTTTACTTCACATTTGCACAAAATTTATTTAAAATGTCAGTCTGCTTTGGTTGCCTTCTTCTTCTTCCTTTTTCTTTTTCTCCTTCTTTTCTTGCTGGATGAATCATTGATTTCTCCCACTGCAGATGTCAGCATCTCCTCTGCATCCGAGCAGTCAGAGTTTTCCTCAGTAGCAGCAGGTATTTTTGCATCAGCAGAGGGAGCAGGAGGAAAACTCTCAGCCTCACTGTGACAGGAAGAACATCAGGTCAGGTTGCACGATTATCTTAAAAGAGATGCCAGCTTCCTGCCTTTTGATACCACGAAATTAAGGCAGCAGCTTATTATGACTCTTGTAACATGTGATAACCGCATGTAGTTTATTTTGTTTCATGAACACAAATAAATATATAGAGAAACAAATTTGTGATAATTTTCCACAATTCATTTGTGGCTATTACCAGATTAATGAAGGGAAAGTTATGAAGAAAAACAAATTTTTCCTCAAAGACTATTAAAAAAAAAAAAAAACTAAAAAAGTTCATAAAAGCTTAATGCGCAATATTCACCTTGCTGGAACTGCAGGTTTCTTCTTTATGCCCCTAGCATCACTAACTTTTTCCAGCAGGGCCACAAAAAAGCCATGTGTGAGAGTCTTGGTGGTACTGGCCCGTAAACACTGCGAGAGCGGCTCCAGTCCTCGTTCAGGCCACTGAGCCAGCAGCGGCACCAACCTGGAGAGAAAATACGAAAGCTGTTTTGTAAGGTTTAGCCCCAAATCCTTTACAGATCTACTTGGTGACACAAAATACCAGATTCCATGTAGGATGGTATCAGTGTACCAGATCCAGGAATAACTGTATTCGTTTGTGTGCAAGTCTCCTATATAAATTAAGCAGTAGCCTAAGGCTCATTGTTACAATTACCCTCTTTACAGTAAGTTACCGTAAAAAAGAAGAGGGTAAAAATACCTGAAGTTGGGGTTCTGCTGCAGACAGGCGGCGACGACTTCCTCGTTCTCCTGGCTGTGGGTGGAGCAGGTGGAGTAGACCAGGCGCTTCAGGCGGGGGAACCTGAGGCTGTGATTCAGGCAGCGCAGCTGGAAGGAGGCCAGCGCCACCAGGCGAGCCTTTTCCTCCTCCTGGTCGGCAACAGAGCCGTCCCGCAGACACACCATACCTGGACACCACAGAGAAACGATTTGGTTTGCGTCAGTCAAGTTAGGATCTCGCCACATAATCGCTTCCACACAGAGATATCTGGGTACCTGAACCGCTGCAGGATGGATCCAGCAGGATGTACTCCACATCTTTATACTGTGGATCATCAGGGTCCACCGTTAGGAAGTCCCGATTGGCCAGCTGGTGACAGCTGACCCCCGCTCTGAGCAGCAGAGTGGACATGGTGCTCAACCGCTTCCCATCCAGGTCAAATGCAAACAACCTTCCTCTGTTCTTCATGATGGCTGCCAGGTGGCTGGTTTTGTTGCCAGGGGCAGCACAGGCGTCGATGACGTGGCTACCCGGTGGGGGGTGGAGCAGATACGCTGGGAGGCAGCTGGCTTTGTCCTGCAGGATGATGTGACCTGCTTTGTACAGGAAGTGGTCATGGAAGTCTGTGTTAGGGGGGAACGCCAGGACCTCTGGGAGGTGCAGGTCCAACACAAAGTCCTTATTCTTCAGGGTTAAGTTATCCAGCCTCACAGCCTGACCCAGGTAGGAGAAGCCCTCCCTCTTCAGGTAGTCCACAGCGTCCCCCACGGTGGTCTTCAGTGTGTTCACACGCACATACCTGGGCAGCTGGTCCGCGGGAGGCCCAGCAGGGAGGAGGTCTTCGTTCCGGCTGACCTTCCTCTTCACCTTCATGCGGGCCAGCTCCGCCTGCAGGCGGGCCCGGTGCTTCATCATGTTGGCCTTCCAGGTGCCGCCGCACTTCAGGCCCTGGCCAATCAGCAGGTCGTACAGCAGCACTTTGGCCAGGGGCATCTTCAGCTTGGTGAGCTTCAGCAGCTTGGTGGACTCGATGATCTCCTGCAGGACGGAGGAAAACTTCTGCGTCTCGCAAACCAGCGCGAAGAGCTGCTTGATGTTCGCAAACTTGCTGTCGTAAACCAGAGTCTTCAGGGCGCCTTGCTTCCGCTCTGCTTTCTCTAGGATCTGTGCGGCGGCCACGTACAGAGCCATGATGGAGGAAGGTCCTCAGCTGCCAACGCGCAGCACCACTTTGGGAACCTTTTAACAAGCTGCTGCTTATTATTATTATTATTATTATAAACCTGTCGCCTGGTTGGTCCTTCCTCTTTGCCGCTGATATCAGGAGAAAACTGGTTTATTTTGCTCAAGGGGTCGCAGCAGCGAGCTCCTCCATGTTTTCACCACGTGAGGGGAAGGATCCTGACTCCGGAAGTAAAATGTGACGCATTGTTTCTATGCGACGTCACGCAACGCCCAGCCAATCACAGATGGCAGCTGCAATTTTTTTTTTTATTTAAGTAGAAAATGATTTAAAGCTGTAGAGTTAACTTTGGTTTAAAAAAAAAAAAATTTTTTTTACATATTTGTTAAAACAGTCATCTTGTCGTGGCAGTATACGACAGATCTGAAAAAATCTCCTTGAGCTACTACTGCTGTCTGAAGAAATGCACTGAGATCAAAAAGAATCAGAGCCAGTAGGAGTGCATGCTTGATTGACAGCTCTAAGACCCTCCTCCTGGTTCTGATTGGTTTCTCATTCCAGACTGTCACTGCGGTGACAATCAACAAATATTTACAAAAAATATCTGCTTATAAAAGTTACATGTTGTAGCTTTAAAGGTAAATTATTTTTCATTTATAACATTGAAGGTTTATGGTTAACCAAAACTTCAAATTGGAGGTATTACATATATTTCTATTACAGAAATGTCACATTTTTGACGGCCATTGTAGAATTTGAGTTTTTATACAATGAAAATTAATGTCAAACACAGAAAATGTTTAACATTGCTTTATTTCCTACAAATACATTCTCACACATTTTCATAAAGAGTCACTTTGCTGCTTTGTTTACACAAAATCTGCAAACATCGCAGTCGGCTCGCATGACCGCTGAACTTAGTGTAAAAACTATAAACAATAAAATGCTATTACCCAGACTGTTTTACAAAGGTTTGTACACATTTATTACAAAAATACTATCTGGATTTTGCATAGAGGCTACATGAACATTTCATAAATGAAGGCAGGGAAGTATAAGGCCTTGAAAAGTCAAGCATGTAAACGTGAAAATATGAAACAGTAATGCAGATATTTCTTCCAAGCCTAATACATTTATTTTGTTACATCCATCCATATCTCTTTATTTAATACTGCAACACAGTCACTGCTGTTTATTTGTCACATTCAAACAGAGCAGTAACTTGTTTTCTTTATCTTTTCTAAAGAAAAACAAATAATTTAATCTAAACTGCATCTGATTCTTACAGTGGTTTCTAGTCTGCATATTATCTCATTGGAAATCTAAAATCACATTTCTGTCAGATATAAACTGTGCTACTGAAAAGTATTCCAGGTACACCAACTGCATACAGACGTGAACAATGAAGACTTGCAATAAAAAAATAAACTATTACCATTTCTTTGATCATAACTTTACAGTAACTGAACACATCTGCAGAATTCAAGCACATCTGATGTCTGCTTTACTCCAACGTGGAAACTTTGGTGATTCTTGTCGTCTCGTGCACCATGTGCCGGAACGATAATCTGACCAAGCATCACTTCATCTTTGCCGGCTTGGGAACTCCACTGACCCGACTGGCCGTCCTGACCTTCATAGAGTTCTTGTACAACAGCAGCCTCTCGGTAGTGTGAGATGGGAGGCGGTTCCTCTTGGCCCTAACGATGCAGGTTGCCATTGGATACAGCCGGTCGAAGCCCCCGGAGGAGGCGGGAGCAGCCAGCAGCTTCTTAGCAATATCCTGCAGCTGGGGGAACTGAGAGGCCGACTTCCAGTACGCAAGACTGGAGCCGCTTTCACACATGGGTTCAGACAAATACACGTCGAGCTCGGAAATCTTCATAGTCTTTGCTGGAGGCTGCAGGTAGCTGAAGATGGCCTTGCGCTTGAGGTCGTTTTCACCCACTGCATCACATTTGTCATTGGAGCTGCCAGCAGATGCCTCTGTTTTAACATCAGCATGGCTTCCTTCTGCTCCGTCTTGCTTCTTCATTGGCTGATTACCAGTCTGCTCCTTGGTTTCCGCCACAGGAACAGGTGCTGTTGCAGTCTGGTTTTCTAATAATGATGCTAAGATTCTGTGAGCCTCTGACTTTGAAGGAGGCGTTAGGAACCCTGTTTGGGTTTTAGCAGCGTCATCAGAAAACGGCTGAAACAATGAAGAAGATGAAGCTGGTGTGAGTTTGCTGAGCTAAAGTTACTACTGGAATTCACAAAAGTGCCTTTTAATACATCACTCATTCTTACTATAAAGAACTTCATTCATCCCAGTTCACCAAAAAGCAAATTATACGACATATGCTGCATTTCCAGGACATAACCAGTACCTGTAGTTTCATTCTGGGGTCGAGCACAGTAGCGAGAATAATCTCCTTCTGGTGAATCACAGACTGGAAATATCCGTGAAGGCTCGTCCGCAGGGCCTTACAGAAGTGATTGTAGTTGGTCACTCGGTTTTCTAGCGTCTTATCCAGACCGATGAGGGAGGGGATGATGAAAGACATGGTCACTCCGTTTCCTTGAAGAACCTGAGTTAAACAAGGATGAGAAGAATGTCAATGTTCTTCATTTGGATTTTACTAGCCCAACACAAAGTTTTCAGCCATACTGCTAAAAATCCAGAGCAACATATTATGTTCAGCAGTCGCCTGATTGGTAATATTGCTAAACAAAAACATTAATGGCATGGTCAAAACATGTTGAACACAATTACTGGGTAATTAACTCTTTATTATATTGTTGCTAGAAGAATTGTGTTCAATTCACCAGACATCCACCTGTTTGACATGATGGATGAGTGAAATTCTGTTTCTCTTTCATTAATTTTTCAGTTCTGTCTTCATTTATTTAACATTTTTGGAAAGGAAACCAACATGACTTAAAGAAAGAGCATTCTCCTCTGGACAAATGCTGCCTGGCTTTGCAATAAGAGATTGGGCAATAATTGCCTGAGATTCAAAATGTTAGAAAAGGTCTCATGACATTGCTATTGTACAAAGTTTTGCCACAAGAGAGAACTTTGTAAAAAAAAATAAATAAATGTTTTCTTTTCCATCACTTCACAAATACCTCCTTGCACATTATTATTAATTGGAAAACAATTACCTGCAGAGCCTCTTCAAAAGGCTCTAGGAGTCCCAGAATATCAACCACTTGCTCCCTCTTCACCATGATCAGCGGGGGGGCGGACGAGGCGTCGGTGGCCTCTATGCGGGCCTGGGCCAGGATTGTCATGACGATGCTCCACGTCGTCTCATGCACCATTCGCCGCAACGATGTCATCATAGAGTTCCAGCGACAGTTGGTGGAGGAAGGACATAGCGACACGTTGCCCTCCTTCAGTAAAAGCTGGGAGGAAAAAATGCAAAGCAGCAGATTTACTTTTGTAAAACAGTTTGAGCTAAAAATAAAAGATTTGCCAAAAATTCAAGCTGAGGGGTAAATAAATAACCTGTCATAAATTTTTGAGTGCTTCGTGGATTGACAGAAACTCTTCACAGAAAAAACAACTATCAGATACTTCTGGACCTGGATTGATCTTTCCAGGCACTTTAAATAAATATGCAGGTCCTGACCACTGACTAATACTTTCAGCAAGGGCTGCTATGGATTATTTTAGTAATCAATTATTCCATTGATTAATCAAATCAAAGAAATGGGCACTTTCTGCAAATTTTTTATTTAACCACCTATGCCTTCATTACACATAATACATATAATTATGTATTATTATAATATAACATATAATTTTCCTTTTTAAATATGACAATAAACATTTTATTGCATAAAATGACATAGCATTTAACATAGCAATAACATAGCATTCATTATTGTACGCTGAATCATTTGTAGCAAAGGAAGCATGTGCCGCCAAATAAATATTTCTAACAGCATGTGAAAAGCTCACCTCTTTCTGCTTGAATTAATATCAATTAATCAATTATCAATTAATTATCAGGGCTGATCTGTTGATTATTTTTGGATTTATCCATTTTTTAAGGCGCTTAACCAGGATTTTTATTTACAGAATTCGAACCAGGTGAAGCTACAACTGTACCACTTGAGGAGGTTTGGGTAGAACATATTTACAGATGGGATTTTGTTTTATCCTAAATACAAAATATAGTTTTTGTGCAGTTTTGGTGTAATTACTACTGTGAGGTTGATGTTCTTTCAGTAAGTAGCCTTTTTTGAGTCTGTTTTCTTGAGTTAACGATTATTTGATTACCAAATCAAAATGAACTGTTGCCGCCCTGCTCCGAGTGTAATTGTCCAAATATGAATGTATCAGTTAAGCTTGCAGTTGCATTAAATACAGAAAAAAATATCGAAAAAGTGGGATCCATTACATTATTACTGTAGCTCTACTACCTCGCTCCAGCAGGCACTGCTCCTGAAGAAAGCAACCACATTGTGAATCTGTGACAGAAGGTTCTCCACCACTCTGGAGTTTTTCAGGGCATCCCGGATCACGGCCTGCAAAGATCTGACAACGCACGTGTTCCTGGTCCCGATCTGCAGCTTTGAAAACGGGGCCTCTGACTCAGATATCTTCTCTGACAGAAAGGCCAGGATGTCATCTCCATCTGGCTCTCGCCGGTTTGAGGAGCACACAATCTTGTAGTCACAAAACAAATTATTTCCAGCTAGGATTTCTTTGGCCTGGTTGGCAAGGATGTAGCCGATATGACAAGGGAAGATGCCGTAGCTCAGCAGAACGCCCTCGAGCTCGCTGGCCACCGCCATGCTGAGATTTGTGTGGTTGAGGTGGCGGAAGGCGACGACTGGACGGCGAATTTGCCAAGTCTCGCTAATGTAGTGGAGTTGAACAACAAGGATAGGATCGTCCGCTTGTTTCGACTGGTCCCCTGCCCACAGGTCACAGGTCACATGAATGGTACTTTCACCGTTCTTGGCTTTGGCGAGGGAGAGCTTGAGGTCACGGATAAGCTGCGGCTTGATGGTTCTTTCCACGTCCTCGTAAAGCTGAAGGCCGATGATGCGCTGGGAGAGTTTGTTGTACTCGGGGCAGATGGTGCCCATTAACGACCTGAAGCCTGCGCCTTCAACAAAACTATTGACACGAGACAGAAAATGTTTCTTTTCCTCAAAGAAATGTATAGATCTGATTTAATCCAACGTCAGCAGCAGATGAACTTACCTGAGAGGCAGCATGTCTTCAGCAATCATCCTCAGTGCTGCGTCAACAAACTTCTTCTGGTCCACCTGTGTGGCTGAAGGAGCGACAGCAGAGCTGGGACTGGAGCTAGAGCTGGAACTGCGGGACAGAGAAGGACAGGGAGAGGACATGTCTCTTCTTGGAGCTGAAGTGGGTAGAGTTGGAACAGCTGCCTTTGGTTTCACTTTGTCAGACACCTTCTGCTGCTTCGCAACATCTGAATTCTCTGTTCCTGTTTTGATCTGTACACAAGCGACAATAGTAAAACAAACTGTATATTTTTAACCCACAAAACCTTTAAACAGAACTTATACTTCTACATGACTCTTGACATAAAGAGACGTTTGAAATGAAGCTTACCACAAGTTCTGGCGTCACTGGATCAGCATCTATTACAACATCACATTTGAAGTCCACCTAGAGCACAACACACATCACAAATGAAGAATTAAGAAGCCTTTTCGCAATCACAAACAATATTTTTATTATGAGCTGAAATGAACATGAATAGCTCAGTGAAGCATTTGCTGATTTTAAAGTGCTTTACCTCTCCGTCCGTAAAATGCTGAATGTCAATGGAAATTGTTTCAGATACTCCTTTGTAAAAGCCCATCTCGGCTTTGCGTCTGATGTTGCCGTTCCAATGATTCTTGATAGAGTTTTCGGATCTGTTTGTAAATATTTGAAAAAATTAATTAGCTTCTGAGTCTGCATTTGTAAAAAGCAAACATACATTTGAAGCTGTTAACCAGTGTAAACTAAGGGACTCACCTTCCAGGGAGCAGCTTGGAGATCTCAGCCCACCGGTTACCCAGAATGCAGTGGGCTTTGTAGATGATGAGGTCTTCTTCTGCAGACCAGATGCCCTTAGTAATTAGTGGGTCAAGGTGGTTAACCCAGCGCTCCCGGCACTGTTTCCCCTGCCTGCCATTTAGATGCTTGGCAATTGTCGTCCAGTTTTTAGTACCGTACTTATCCACCAGCTCCAATATCTACATGACATGAGCAAAAAAAACAGCAGGAAGAAAATTTTTTTTTCATATAAAATTGTAGATAGAATTAGATTCTGTACACACAGACTGCCAGTCAAAAACTTTAGACCAAACCTATCCTGTTCCAAATGATAGTGATCTGCATTTTCACTGTTCTGTTTCACAATTCTGTTTGCATTTTCCACAAGAAATGAATAATGAAGCCTGACAGAAAGATAACTGTTGTGTTTTAACATTCCACTTCAATATTAATCTATCTGAAATAACTAATAAAGGATTGATAAACTAAACTAAAATGTATGATTGGAGGGCTTTTAAAGCTGGGTTAAGAACATGAACTTTATTTAAGTTTCTAGAAGAGAAATCCAATCCATCTTTATGGTGTGAAAGCTCAAGAACCTCATTAATATTTCCACTTCGTAACAAATTGTATGTTCACTTCCCACCTTTTCATCTTCCTCTTTAGACCAGGGTCCCTTCACTAATTCAGGATCCAGATGTTTATTCCAGCGAAGAATACACTGTAGTTCTGTTCGACCCTGTCAGGAAATATGTTGGAGTTTGCAACATGACTAAACCTGGCTGACATTGAGATATTTGTCTTACTCTCTGATTTTGCTTCTTGGTGCACATACTGGTAAAAAGCTAGCAATGGTTTTCCAGTCCTTTTTTCCAAAGTTAGTGACAAGAATTTTGAGGTTTTCATCCTGCACATCAGAAAGAACACATTTAATACACATTATCTCACGGAGTCGAGAATGAAAGTGACGTTTACACCAACAAGGTATGTTACTCGCCTCTTCTTGGGTCCATTTGATCTTACACTCAGCGTCATTATTTTCCACTTTATTCAGACTAGTAAGAAAAGACGACTTACTGTCACCCTCTTCTTCCATCCTGCAAACATTTAGAATCAATAAAATAAACAAGGTCTCTCAGCTAAAATGTCTTAGAATGAACAATATGCTGTGGGTGATATGAGGAACATATCATGCTGCATAATGTAAAGCTTTATGAGCTACCCTTGTTGCCAAAGCAATCTGGTAACTTTATTTCAGCTAGTTTTCCAGCAGCTAGTGATTAGCTAAGTAGGTAAAACAACTTCAAGATAGAAAAGACAACAAATGCAAATATGGGCCGATGACTGCACTGCATGATTTATCAAATAAAACCTCTGGTGAATAATAATTACAAACAAAAAAACACTTTACGTCCCAACTCTGCTGGGAACACTCACTCACTAACACGTTGAGAAACTTGAGCGCCCCAAGCGGCGAAAGTCCATTACTGCAATTAGCCTCAGCGCTACTAGTTCAACGAGCGAAAATTGAGCGTTTAGGATAATTTAGGTTAGACTTTTAAATGTAATTTGCATACCTGATTGTAGAGCGCAAGCAGCGTTCTTTCCACGTCTATGAAGACTACAACGGTGTTTCACACACAAAGCTTTCTACAGGGACACTCAAGGTTTTCATTGGACGTGCAGTGGTGGGAGAAAACCACAATACCCACGCTGCTGGACGAAACAAAACAATCACTCCAGTTCCCAATGAACAGGCGAAAAAGTCATAACCATGTGTGTGAAAACGTGCCTACTTAAATATTTAGCTCTAAAATAGCGCATATCAACATAAACTACTGTTTTCACACTTACCCGCGCGACGTCCCTCCGGTGTCTGTGTGTGGAGCTGCTGCTAATTTAGCTGCAGTTCAGAGGCAGCTTGAAATGTTGTGTGCAGATACAGAGCAAACCCTTAGAGGAAATACGGAACGGCCCAACTATGCATGGCAAGTGGGAACTGTGCCAGACAAGTGAAAGACAGAGGAATTGAGACGCAACCTTAAAAAAGCGAACATTTACCCGCAAGTGAAAAAACGAAGGTCTGTTCAAGAGCAGAGCTGTTGCACAGCTAGCAGACGCCGGAAACAACCCACGTGACCAACAGCTCGAAGCCATGCTAGCGGCTAGCTTATGGGGGTGTCCTGAATGTTAGGGATTTTCCTGTGAAATAACTTAAGGCAGCAATTTAAATGAGGGATAATTTGATTTAATTGTGTTCTGAATGTAACACGTAGTCTATTGTAGTTCTAGAGCAACGTTTTAACTGAATTATTTTTCTTTATTTACTACAGGCTTTAATTTCTGTCAAAAGCTGCACATGAGCAGCTAAGCTAGCTCACTACACCTGAAATAAGTACATAACAATAGAAAAAAACAAAAACTGTGTCTAACACATTATAATTAATAATGAATTCCTATACTTTAATTAGTGTTTGAATCTCGCTATAACAGACTGTAATGCTCTTTAGTTACAGGGTTATTAACAGTCCAGCATGTCCTTACCTTCATTATTTGCCAAAAGTTATATTTTCACCTAAAGCATCATTTGGAAAGAAAGAGATGGTGTTTATTTACTTATACAAAATCACTTATGGCAAAAAATAACTTAAGCCATTACTTCACGAAGGTGACAATATGATATTTTAGTATAGTGTAATTTTACTACCATTCAGACGCACAGCACTTAAGATTTAGTATGTGCATATTCTAAACAAATCCTGGTTATTTTTATACTTGACCACAGGCAAAATGTCTATGTGAATTATTGTTGTATAATCCATCCAAAGTATATCGAAGCTATACACAGTGGTCAGTGGTCCTTCAACGATAATGAAAATCTAGAGAGCTGCAGTCAAGTCACAGTGGCTACTTTTTATGTTTCTCTTGATTTAAGCAAGCCGTCAGTCTTGACTTTATATTGAGAGCATACATCAAACTGTGATTTTTGTGTAATGATACACAAAAAATGTCATGTTTAAAGGCGTGCTTATGACTTAGGAGTAACAACAACTTAAGGCCAAAAATATTGACGTATTAGGTTCCCTTTTAAATAATATTGGATTTCTTCTATTGTCTTGTTGTCAACACCAACAAAGTGCTGCTGGAAATGTGGCCCACTTGTTTATAATGTTGGCTTCTCCGTTTACAACTATACCTAAGGAAGAAACAATTTGGCACACAGATTTAAATGTCGTAGCAAAAGCTGTGCCTTGTGATTACTTAGCCATTTAATGGAGGTAATAAAAGAGATATGTAGTTACTTCACCAAGAGCATATGGCTTGACAGAAAAACTTCTGACATGCGAGTTTAAATACATATTTTTATTTTACATAAACAGACAAGATGATTTATTTCACGAGGAATTATACATTAAATCCAAAACCTAGCAGCAATTATCACTAAAATAGTTATGGGAGATCCACTTCACATGTGTTTACACTGATACATCAATTTTACCACATTGCACAATTATTTTTGCAAAGCAGTTACTGTACATTCACAGTATTCAAGAGTTACAATACATAAGTATAAAAACCAGCTTTAATATTTATACTACGGTGTAGGTGACTGCTTCATCAAGGATGTTTTTGCTTGCAGATTAATGTAGAAATTCAAGCCCAAGAACATAACTGTCTATTTTTGTTCATAAATATATTTGTGATTATTATAGAAAAGACGCACATTTACAATTGGTTCTTTAAGCTCACCAAATTAATTTCTTTTCAATAAAAGTTCACATCTTTGTTTTATAAAGTAACTAGCGAAAAGCCTGGAAACAGACTTTAGAAGACTGGTGCTGTGCATAAGTTTACCTTTGTTCCACTGTGCAATTAACCCATTTATCTGTACATAAAAATCATACATTTTACAAAAATATAAAACGTAGATAAAAAAAAGCCCCTTTAGCCCACCAATCACACCAGAAATGATATTTAAATTATACAAGCAAGAGTTGACTTTACTGTCTTTTGATTTTCAGATATTTTTATGATTATTTCTTGTTTTTGTCTGTGTCCATTCAGTTTACACACACACACACGCACACACACACACACACACACACACACACACACACACACACAAACACATACACACACACACACCCCCACACACACACACACACACACACCCCCACACACACACACATATATATGTGTACTGGGAAGGTTGTTAGTGCATGTTTTTTTTTCCTTTTTCTTTTCAAAATTTCAAATACAATATAAATTTATGGCGAATCAATAAATTGTCTCTGTACATAATTGATTGGAAAGCATTATTATATATGTATATATATTACATATCCATTTTTTTTCACTGAACATGTCCTGCATATTTGCCCTCTGAGCTGTGTCAGCTGGGATCTCCGAGATGAAAACACAGAACAGAGATCGTCCCAACATATCATTTTCACAGTTTTTTTCTGAAAGTTTGAACCTTTTGGTCTCACAGGAAACTGTCTTCTGCGCCGACGAAGGAGAACCCATTGAAAGCGTTGTTGGAGCTGGTGCTGGCGTTAAACTCCGGGGTCCGACTCACTGAGCTGGGAACCATTTCCCTGGTGAACTCTGGATCGATGTGTTGGGTGTCGGCCGGGCCTCTCTGGAAGACCGTTCGATTGTGTCTGATTATTATTTGCTTGATTTCCTTCAATTTTTGTTTCATTATAACACTTTTTGGTTTAAGAAACAAATGTCAAAACAAGCCAATACACTTGTAAAATCTGTTATAAATTTAAAGAATCACTCAATTAATACTTGTCTGACAACATAATGTTGGCTGAAGCATTTCTAAGAGCAACATATCATGTTCTAATCAAAAGAAATTCAAAGTCTTTGATTTCTCTGGATGTCAGGACTCGGATTTTGGTTTTGATCTTATTTATCATTATGTTTTATTTCTCTTTAGATTAGCCCTTCATGGTCATTTCAGTTTTAATATTTGAAGTCATTTAGTGTGATTAGAAATGCCTTGTTGTTTTCCTTATCTGCAGCCCTTCATATCGTTTCTATTTAGGCTTATTCTGTAGTTACCTTAGGTTCTGTTTCTCTTGTATGTCGAGCTTCTTTGGTGATTATGGTTTATTTTTATTTAATCCTACTACTTTGTTTTGCTTTTTAGATTTTCTTGTACCCCTGGATTTTGGATTTTTTTTGTTAGTTGATTTTCTTCATGACAACATCCACTTATTTCCACGTCTACTGCCTGCTGCGTTTGGGTCCACCGCCACACCATAGGCCCAGCCATCAATAGATGGATAAAACATGATGGAACCGTGGATTTGAAGCTTCCCAAATCCGCCAACTAAAATTACTCCAGGGACACATAAACAATAGCAGTTTTACAGAACATAACTTACGACGTTGGGGTTGTAAGGAGGAGTGATCCTCTTGTGATAAAGGTCGTCCCAGTTGATTGGAGCAAAGAAGGGATGGTTCTTTATTTCTAACTGCAAGAAACCCAAAATGACAACAATGAAAAGATTAGTGGAAAAGTTATTTGTTCACATTTTTTAAAATATAATATCTTTTATTGGAAGTCATTGACTTGACAAATTCCATTAGAAACATTTTTGGAGTCATTTGAGATTTTTCTTTTCTCTCCAGAAGGAGCTGCTCCAGCTGTGTCAGCTCTGCTTCTGCTGGTCCTCAATTAACAAAATACTGAACATAACTGCTTTTACAAAATCGAAACATATTTATTGTCTGCAGGTTTTTAGGACAAACACACACTTACAAAGTCAGCAATCGTTCCGAGTCGTCTGTGCGGGTCTTTCTGCAGAAGACCGACCAGCAGAGAGCAGACGACCTCAGACTTCCCCGGAGGGAGCGGCAGCGTCTTGTGGAGAATCCCGTTGTACATTTCACCAACATCCCGGCTGTAGAAAGGAGGCTAAAGTGGAGTGAGAGACACTATGATCACCTAGAGCTGGTAAAAAAAAACAAATAAAATAAATGTTTGGATCAGCCTCTCATAAACACACATACCAGGCTATAGATCATCTCATAGAGAACGGCTCCCAGACACCACCAGTCCACCGTCCTGTCATATGGTTCCTTACGCAGAATCTCCGGTGCCAAGTACTTCAGAGAAAGAGAAGAAATTCATGAACAAGTAAAGGTAATCATAAAAGGAAGGGAAAAAAATGTGCTGCTTCTGACATTACACAAGCTTCAGTAAAAAAAAAAAACTTGTTTTAAAAAGGAGTATGTTAACTTCTTCATTAGTCCTCCAGTGTGAAATCATTATAGCTTGTCATGTTCTGTCCACTCACCTCTGGGGTGCCACAGAAAGTGGAGGTGGTTGATTCTGGCTCAACGCCTTCTTTGCACAGCCCAAAGTCTGTCAGCACCACATGACCCTGCAGACACGAGGCACACGCGATCCCAAACCACACGGACCATAGCAGTCAAATGAAATGAGCGAGGAGCTGTCAGTGGCTTACCTGAGAGTCTAAAAGGATGTTCTCTGGTTTTAAATCTCTGTCAAAAACAAGAGCAAAAGCCATGGTTATCAATCGGTCGCATTTCAAGGCGACTAATCTGACACGTCCTGCACGTCTGACCTGTAGACGATGTTAAGAGAGTGGAGGTAGCCGATGGCGCTTGCCACTTCGGCAGCGTAGAACCTCGCCCTCGGCTCCGAGAAACACCTCTCCCTCTGGAGGTGGAAGAAGAGCTGCAGAGGAAGATTAGATGTTTATTAGGTAGTAAAAAAAAAAAAGCCGTACATGGAGCAGGAAGTGGTGCTGGATTACAAATGTGACGGGGAAAGAGAGACATCTTTAAACAAAATATGGTGCAACACTTAGCAGAAAAACATCTGATATGATTGTAATATTTCAAACATAAGTAAAGAATTAGTCAAAAATGCTATTTGACTATAGTAACTGAGTATAAAATAAAAACCAATGAGGAAAAGAAAGAAAATGGCTGGGGTCATACTGAGTGACAACATGAAATTTTTCTAAAAGCAGAATATTGATGGTTTCTCTGCACTTAAAAAATGTCGATTGATTTTAGAATCTTTCTAAATCAGTCTCTAAATGAGTTCATCTAAGTTCAGTTTTGTGGTATTTGGCCATCAAACATGTACCTCTCCTCCGTTTACATAGTCCAGCACAAAGTAGAGTTTTTCTGCGGTCTGAAAGGAGTAGTGGAGCCGGACCAGAAACGGGTGTTTCAGGCTCTTCAGCAGCACGTTCCTCTCTGCCATGATGTTCTTTTGCTGGAAGAGGAAGAGCAAAATGACTGACATCTTCTGTCACAGTGAGAGAACTTCAGTATCTACGAAAGTCAGACTTTACTTTCACAAAATACTCAACAATAACACAACAGAGAGAGATAAAATCAGTTTCATCTCTGCTTTTCCCCGGTTGACGGCGCGAATGTTTCCAAATGGGGCCTGCATCTCATGAAGCCGTTGACCCTTCACGTTCTGTATTTAGGACACGGTTTATGACTCGGCCTCACCGTGTAGCAAAACGCAAAGTCATCTGTCTGTTCCTGTTTCCTGCTTATCACCGTTGCTGTTTACTGTAACCAACACGTCCAAGAACACAGCAAACGCCGTCGTCTAAAGAATGTTTAGGTCCCTCTCTTTCCTGGTCAGATTCATTAGCCGATGGACTATTAATGGTCATGAACTCCTTGTTTTTCTTCTGCTTTTTTTGTGTTTGTTCGTGGCTGATGTCAGTCGCTCATGCTGAGCTGGATTCTCCAGGGAGTTGCTTTCCGTTAAGTGGAGGTGTTTCCTCACCACCGTTGCCACATGCTTACTCAGGAAAGCACATCACTTGAAAGTCGGTGACTCGACGCAATCCGATGAGCTTTACAAGCATTACGTCCAGCATTATTGTGACTGAATGTGATTGCATTGTTTTATTAATTTGCCATGACCTGAACTGTCTTTGGTTATTTGAATCTAAACAAATGATTGCATTAGTAGCATGTCAAATAAACTTTGTGATATACTTCTAAACAGGTAGATGTAAATTAAATCCTTTTTTTCTTGATATGTTTATATTTTTTGTAAAACAAACAAAAAAAAGTTTAGTTTTTTTTTCTAAATTGATTTATTAATGAAAACATGATATTCTGGCTGAAGATCTGAGTGATTTATTAGTTAATGATAATATTTGTTTGACTTGTTCATATTTTCAATTATTAATGATGTAATTTGACATTAGTAATACATGATGATGAATATGTTAGAGAGTCCAGAAAAGTTAGGTTTATTTTAGTTTTAAGATGGAAAAATGGAGAATAATAAAACTATTTTATAATGGCATAAACTCCACCGCCTAGTAATGGCAAAATGAAGTTTTACTCAGAATAAAAAAAAGGAATTTGCTTTGTGTAGTTCTTGTTATATGTTATTCACGATAAGGCATAGGGTTTAAATGAAACACTTTGTGAAGTGGGATTATTACATTTTCTCTGTCAGACAGATAAAGTTGCTACATGCCATTGTAAGCAAAGAGAGACGTCTCCAAAAAAAATGGCCTTTTGAAGATAAATGTTACCACAGAGTTCTGAGAAAATGATCTTCAGCCCTGAGACAAGCATAAACACAAACAACTCTATAACCAAAAAGACAATGTATCAGTTTAACCAGAGCCGAGCTGAGCGCGCTGAGTGACAGGAGGATCTGGTTCTCTTTGCTCGGATGTTTTCACCGTGTTGTTCGACAAACACTGAAGTGTCCCGGTTTATTTTTCTGTGGGCCGTAAAATGTGTCCTTTGTACGGAACAAGCTGCAGATTAGATTAGATACAGATCAGATCTTGCCGGGTCAGAACTCTGTTTACTAATAACTCTCACAGATACTCACCCACCCACAGACAGAAAGGTTTCCATCTACGTTTGGTTTCCAGCAGTCCTCGGCATTATTTGCTTGTGCTGCTTAAATATAGTTTGTTTACAATAATCGCAAAAAATATATATATCTGATTTAATTACAGCTTGAAGCTCTATCGTGAGATACATTTATTTGAAAAGTGTATGGTAACTTGATGTTTGAATTATATAGAGATGCTGTTCCTCTGGGTGTACTTAACATTTGATTTGTCAGGATCAAGCTCAGTTTTAATAGCCAAAAATACCAAGAGAAAAATATTCAAAAGGATAAATTACCTCCTTTTTCTTGAGGATGATCTTCTTCTGCAGAACTTTGATTGCGTAGAACTTGTTGTCGGCTTTCAGCTTTGCAAGCAGGACCTGCATGGTGGTTGGCTTATTAGTGGTTTGTTTAGTAAATACTTTGCACCAGCATCTCATCACAATGGTGTCAGGACATTTCATCAAAAGTGTGCACCCAACACAGACAGCTGATCTCTGGGAACGCACAATGTCCGAGAAATGTCGGGAGGGTTGATGCAAAGGAAGAAAAAAAAAAGAGTCCCTTATCTTATTTTTTGCGTGATAAAAAAGTAGAAAATTATTAATTGGTTGAAATATTATATGACTAAATGAAAATAGGATTAAAAAAAACAAAAGCAAAGAAAGTAAACTCAAATAATATTATAAATGAGAATAAAAACGATTTGTTTTGAAGGGATGAAGCAATAAAAATTAGTTTTAGGATGGGGATTTCGAAAATACAGAGTTGGGTGTTTATCATCTGCCCCTTGGTATCAATACGATCTTCTTAATCAGTGACTTCGAGGTGCGTGAAGTTGAAACATCTGAGCAGAAACAACGCTTAGCCCATTTATCATGTTTACTTGAAACTAGGCAAGGGTCCAGAGTGGGTGGAAAATATGCTTTGTTTTCAAGAGATTGAGGAAAGCCTGTTTTAAAGAGTCTAGTAGGGCAAAAGAAAATAGTGAGTTGCTAAAATAATACTTTTTTATTTTTATTTAGATAAAAACATTATCTAGCTTTAAGGTTAAATCACAACGGCTTTGGTGTAGAAATAAATTTGGAAATCTTTTGCGTACCGCACAGGAAGAGATTAAACCTCATTACAGAACAAGATTTGACAAAATGATTTACAAAAAAATAATAATAATTTAAATTGGATATGTAAAATGAGCATCAGAGAACCCCAAATGCGAGAAAAGACAATAGAGGACGAAAAGTTTACTGTTTGATAGGTCAAACTTTGTTAATTTATAAACTAGTTTGAGTATCATTAGGCAAATTGAATGATAAGAAAAAGATTAAAAAAACATGGACACTTCATGTTTAAACCTCCATGGATTGAAAAGGTAAATTTCAGTAACACATCGTTATATAGTTAGTAAGAGAGAAGGCAGGAGGCACACTTTGAGTTCGAAGGCTCAATCACTGACTAGCTTGGATATCAATAGTTGGACACAATCTTACAAAATTCATTTTTCTCTCTCTGTTTCTCTTATGTAAGTAGGTCAGGGTAAAATCTCTGCTCCCTAACAACTCACAAAACTATAAAATGTATTCATTTATCAGGACAATCAATAATTCCTGCAGCATGGCTTGTGTTATGACCAAGAAAACAGACCTGAAGGTTTGTGAAGAACAAACCCCCCCAAAAAAACAACAGATCAGTTTAATAGTGCAGACATAAATAAGTGTTGTTACCTTCCCAAAGGTTCCTTTGCCAATGACAGCCAGGAAGTCAAAGTCAGTCGGTCTGGCGCTAAAACAACAGGAAGGTCGACTATTAAATGATCTGCATACTCTGAGGCTCATGATACGACTATTTCACAAAGGAGAAAACACACACACGTGAAAAACAAAAAAACTCAAAGTCAAACACTGGTGACTGTCATTCAAAAAGATCCAGTGTGAATCATTTATGAGGAACAAATGCGTGTGAACGTCTGGAAGCAAAACTGAAGAGAAAAACTTTTTTTTTTTCTTGCATTAAGTTTAGTACTGCAGTCGAGAGGTCATCGAAGAACGGCAATCAAGTTTGGTCTTGAAATACGTGTTTATCACTCCTTCGAACGTAAATGCGTAATAAAATAAAAACCTCTGATAATATCGGAATAAAAACAAATGAGTTGATCTGCAGGTGGCTGCCAAAAGTTGCCACACCGTGTTTAGTCAAAAGTTTCCATGGTGAGACTGAAAGCGAGGAGTGGCCAGAAAACCAACGGACAAGCTAAGTAAAGATTCCTGAGGCCATGGAGGGTTATATAAGTGCAACCAGAGGCTAGTCTCACATTGTTAAATGTTAATCTTGAGAAATAAATACCCACCGCTCCGCCTGTCCTCCACAGTTTGTTAAAGATTACATTAAGAAGTCAAAAAGGTTGCTGGAAAAACAATATCTTGACTTATGAGGTGGAAAGCAGAGCTGTTTTGGTCACATTTGGTAAACTTCCTCTGTACAACCTAATAAGGTTTGTTTGCTGCACTCTTCTCTTAAAGGTTTGAATTTATTGGGTGGGAAATGAGTACATTAACCATGAAGTGAGACTCTTGCAGAACGCAGTTTTTCTGTCCCAGTTATTCTTTCAAAGAGGGAATCACTCAAAACAAAGTTTCGCACACTTTTTAAGGAATATTGAATCACTTTCACCAAGATCACTTCACCAGCCTTTGCTCAGTTTGTTTTAGTTGATCTAGCATTACAGTTTCTATGGGTTCATTTGCAACTTCAAAAAATAAAGGGGAACAGATGGTTTAGTAAAAAGCAGAGTTACTGACTGTGGGTTTGCAGAAGGTCCCAAATTGACATCATCATGAGGAGAGGAGGGGGTCGACCGCAGCTGGAAAAATACAGAGGAAAATACACATGATGCTTAAAATGATTAAAGCAAGCCAACAGATTATAAATAATAATAATAATAATAATAAAACATTTTTTGGGGGGCGTCTCTTTTAAGGATTCTACATTACAACTTTAACTGTGCACTTCACAGAAAAGCAAATCATTTGAACCGCAACTCATAAACTGTCCATTTCAGGTGATCTTAGGAAAGTTTGACGTTCACTTTCAAAGCTTTGTTCGGTGAGAATAAGAGAAAGAAGAATACTTTGTTCCACCTGTTTGGTTTGGCAAACGCCACTGTACTTTACTGCAATCTGATGATGAAGAATGAAACTAACACAGACCATCTATGTCTGTCAGATGATTCCAGATGGAAATTTTGTCGAACATCCTTTAAAAACAAAGTCGTCTCACTGAAAGAAGCTCGACTGTCTAACATACTGAACAAATCATATGCAAAATAACAGCAGAGTTTATCAATCATATTATTTTGAGACAAAATCAGTGCAACAAAATGATCTAAAACAAAGACAAGTTGTTAGATGCAAACACAAACAACTCAGTCAACTTATTAATTGTTTCAATCATTGCTTGTGTTTCTTTCAACTCAACATTTTCCAACAGTCGCCACAAGCCAAATAACCAACAACGCAGTCAAAAGATAATGCAGACCTTAAAAATGTGCGTCCTGAAATAGTTTGGTCTCAAGACCTGCTGTTGAACAAAGCAGTCATTCTGATTGCTGATGTCTAAACCAACCTGCAGACAGACTTCCAGTGTCACATGCTCAAAAAGCCTGCTGGTTAAAACTAAAATAAAAGCATTTGGTTAACTCACGTTGCAGTGAGCCATGGCTGACGTGTTCTTAATCCACCTGGAGGATCCAAACCTGTTGGAGGACAGGACGGGTTCAGTCCACAGTCAACATGCCTTCCACCGTTTCTCCCTTCATAAATGTCCTTTCCTCCACTTCAGCTCTAACTCAGATGAACCTGGCCTTTTGTTCCTCGGCTGTCTGAGTGTGTTTTGTGCAAATGACTCCTGTGTGACAGCCTAAGGATACAGATGAGCTAGAAGTTCTTGTTTCCCAGGAATGACATGGTGGACAAACAGGAAGACAAAGAGGGACATAGTCTGTATAATGGGTAAGAGTGACATGGTGGACAAACAGGAAGACAAAGAGGGACATAGTCTGTATAATGGGTAAGAGTGACATGGTGGACAAACAGGAAGACAAAGAGGGACATAGTCTGTATAATGGGTAAGAGTGTCCATTTTGTTGTCGTTGTTGTGAGGACATCAGGTTTTATGCTGATGCTGGTTTTTCATTCTGAGCACATGATGTTGAAGATTAGATCTTAACAATACTAAAATGAGGCAAGGCTTTTTCTGCTTGTTTTGTTTTTTCAGTATTTTTATCAGATTGGATATTCTTGGGTATTTGCCATAAGTCTGACGCTTTGTTTCCATTGGTCACCCTTGTATTAACAATAACCTAAAGCTCAAATGTGAGACTCCATATCTTTCTCTATGATGACAAACATTTCCATCTCGGAGCATAGAGTTCAGTGCCGAACAGTGGAGAGATGGGATATGAGGCTGCAGAACTAAAAAAAATAAAAAAATAGTGAAATTCTTCTCTCACTTACAAAAGAGAAAAAAATTTGGTGTTTACAAAATATTTCAGGGTATTGTGTAATATCTTAGAAACCACTCTTTTTGAGCTAAGAGATTTTTAAAACGTGACATCAGAGTCTGGGGCGAGTCTGGAAAGCAAGTCTGGCTGCTTGAGCAGACAGCCTGACTAATTAACGAGGTTAAGCTCGCTATTCTTCTGGTGAGAGCAAAAATGCTTTTGATTATTCAGATGCTATTAACTCTACTTCAGCTAAGCTCAGCATTGATGCTAATTTTTTAGCATCAGAACGCCGGGTTCCGACTGATTAGTTACACTTTGGCAGGCCCCATTTAAATTTCTTCAGAAATATTCAAGTTTATGAATATGGGGCTTCTTCTCATTTCAGTTTTTTTTTTTTTTGCTCCATGACAGCAAACAGGACCTGGGCCTCGAGGGAGATCCGACAGCACAGCCGGTGTTACAAAGACCAAACTGGCTCTTCATTTTCAACTAAAGCATGTGGAAACATGGGATGTTTATCATTTGGATTAATGGAGAAAAACTATTCACTGCATCCAAATGAACATTTCAGACAGTGAAATGTTTCAATATTAATTTCCCATTTAAATATTGTTGCTGACCTGAGGACACAGTGATAGCAGTGATATGTGTCAGTGTCTGCATTGACTGGAAAGCCATAGTTCATGGCAAACTACTCTGCTGCAAGAAATAAGGCAAAAACAGACTCACTCTGTTTTTGTTTTGCTATTGATCATTTTTAATATCTGACAATGAGCAAATATAAAAATCACTTTTCAAATGATGAGTTTATTATTCACTAAGAAAAAAAGCTATCCAAACCAACCACGGCTGTAAAAAAGCAATTTCCGCCACAAACCTGACGACATGCTGTATCAGTTTAGGATACAGCCAATCATTTTTAACACCACCGTGGAAAAGGTTTGACCCTTCCTTTAGTGGTAAATTGATCTATTTTTCAATCTTCATCTTGGAGTAATTGTCGGGAACTCCAGAGAAAAATCACCTAACTTTTCCAGACTGGCAACTGATAATGACTTCCTTTCTTGTTTGTTTATTAAAGGCTGGAAATGTTGGCAAGGTCTCTACGGAAGAGATTTCCTGATTTTACAAATTGAGCATAAAGTCAAGCAAGACCGAAACTAAACAAAGCTGTCCAAAAATAAAATTCATTTCTAGCTTAACGAGTGAGGGATTAACTTTTCCAAAATGTCTTTTGTAACCTTAAGCATTTCGGTCTGACAAAAAAACCTAAAACAAAAGCAATATTTAAGGAGACATGTTTTTCCAGCACTATAATTATCTATTCACTGATGCCTCTGGTGGCTCCTGAAGCAAAAAGAATGAAGGTGGCGCAGGCGAGTGAAGCAAAGTCAAATCAGTTTGGCTCCGTTTCAGGGGCCCTTCAATGGAGGCTCTGCAAATACCTCCAGCTTCATGGCAACACGGTACATGGTGTTCTGGCAAGCTGATAATTACATAAATAAGGAAGGCTGAGCTTGACCCATTGACACGGGTGTTGCTGTTGATAATAGAATATGCTTATGTGTTATTAGGAGCTCATCTGGACATGTGAGGGCCATGTTAAGCAGCAGTATATTCTTAGGGAGTTAATAATTAACTTTGGTGTGGACCTTTGCAACTTTCCAGGTTTTGTATGCGGATAAAAAAAAACTGTAGCACATGCTAAAATCAATAAGAAACATGTGCAAAACTATGGTCCCTTGGTGTATTTTGTGCACAATGTGCACAAAATGCAAATGATGCATATTGTGCGTAAGTGAAATGAGCAGTTAAACACCATATCATGATATTAAAATAGTGAAAATGGCTATGAGCTAACATAGGAGTTATTTAATCTTTCAACAATAAGCTGCACTTAGTTAAAACAACTAATCTGTAAAATAAAATAAAATAAAATAACGGGGAATCTTGTTGAAATAAGAAATGAAAATCAAGCTCAAACCTTGTTGCATCAGCTTCAAAACTGTCCATCAGAATTGTAATAAAAATATAATTAAAGGTGTGATGAGACTATCTCAGGTGCATAAAGAGGTACATGTGCAGCAGCTTAAATTATGTTAATCATTACTAACACAAAAACATATTATTTTTAAAACTTCTAGGTAAAAACGCAGATAATTCAGATCAATAATGTAAAATCTAATTTAAAAGAAAAAGGATATATGGTGCAGCCCCCAAAACAAAACAAGGAACAGAATAGACAATCTGTCATAAAGTGTAGCTTGAAGCTTTCCTACCTGGGCAGCAGATGAGTGTGTTGGCCCGCTGCTCTTCCGCTCGGGAGTCTGGGCAGACTGACAGCACCAGTCTGGGGGCTGAGGCTCGTCTCGGCGTGTCGTTTTGTTTTTAAAATGTAACGGGAAGGTCAGCGGGTCGGATCCGACGCGGTGAATCATTGATGAAAAAGTTACAGAGCTCGGAAAGGGGCGAGGCGAAGCTTCACAGAAAACCGACCAGCGCTTCCTAAAGCTGCGGAGGGATTTCAAAATAAAAGCACCGCAGCGCCGTATGGTCTGATTGTCAACAACAACAACACAATGTAAACAATGCTATGTTGGTTTTTAAGAGGGAACAAAAAAAATCTAATTAAATTAAATCTAAAATTCAAGACACTCTGTAAACTGTTTTTAAAATGATTCAAATCTATGCATTAAGTAGTTTTGAAATAACAAAATTAAATCTACAAAAATGCTCAAAACACTGTTTAGGTGCTGAAGAAAGCTGTATGAGTTCCAGCAAAGACTGAGCTATTTTTAAAGAACGTAAAGTTGACATTATTTAAATCATTAGGTTGCATCTGGAGACAACACATTTCTATAATGTAGTCCAGATTTTCTTTAGTATTCTTTGTATTTTCACATTTCTGACTTTGGAAGAAATAATAAAAATGTTTATAAAATACAATTTGAAATATGTTTTTTTTTATTTTATTTTACTTTTTTTTAATCTTCTTGAATTTCAATGTTCCAGCAAACCATGACAGACACAATCTCTGAGCTCTGCCAATTGCAAAATAAGAACTTGAAGCGGGCACATTTTCAAAGGAAATAAAGTCACACTCTGAGATGGAAACCTGGGTTTTCCTCTTGGAGCCTTTTGTGGGGCCCTCTTCCTGTGTGAGGCACCTGGCGCACCGGCAGGCAGCGCTCGGTCCGGCTGGTTTATCAGCAGCGTCCTGGATGCCGCCGTGGATCAGCGCGATAAGCAGTGAAGACCAGCGGGGCGTGGAAGCAGTTGTCACCAACCACAGCCAACTGTTGACGACAATACGGTCGATAGGGGGACGCGACGCACGCAAACTCAGTTTATAGTCAATTCTTGGACACAAAACCTGCGCGAGGACAGGAAGCGCTTTTCCTCAAGACTCGGAACGAGACAAGAAAGGGAGGTTGGCCAAGATAGGGTTGGATGTTTTATTCTTTTGAATGTATTGGATGGCGTTTGTGACTCAAGATTATCTTCATTTTCTTCCACACACACATACACGCGCGCGCGCTCTCGCACACACAGAGAAATCCCACCAGAGAGACAAAACAGATATTCCGAAAGCCCTTAAAACATAAAACTCTTTTCACACAATTTCAACCTCATACAGTGTCTCAGCCAACCTGACACAAAATGTAAACAGATGCGCACTCTAAACGGAGCGCCGACCACAAGGAAACCTGCTGGACACCAAACACGTGTTTATAGTGCTAAATGTGGGTTTTTGCACTCTCTAGTGGCGGCTCGCGGTACCACTGCACCGTCCGGATTTTACAATTGTGCTAAAACGCGGATTCGTTTTTCCATTAGGAAAAAAAATAAGCTCAAAGCCTGTGCTGTTTTCTAACTCTCAATGGAGACATTTAAGTACAAACAACTTGAACTTCTGATTATAATACTCGAGTGTCTGTGTGCACGTAACAGTCTGACTAAAGTAGCTTATTTGTATGTGTTTAATTAAGTATTTTATGCTGTTACCAAGCAACAGCGAGGCATCTGTTTCCGTGCAGACCCCTTCTTTGAATTTATTATTGCACAAAATGTGAAGCCTGCAGAGGCCTCACCATCCGGCCTCCTTTACTGCAATGAACGCCTCCTTCTTACTTTTTCTACCCACGTTCTAGACTGTCCACTTTTCCCGTCTCTTTCATTTTTCCGTTTTCTTTCCTTCATTTAATTCAAGTATAATAATTCAGGTGTTTTGTCTGCGTTGTTGTATTTTATTTTAAATCGCGCCCCCTTTTTCTTCCCTCCGTTCAAATCTGTCCTCCACGTAAACTTTTCGATTACAATACTTTCTGCTAAACCCAGCTATTGTGTTGAATTTGAGCTCTCGTACAGGAAGTCACCGTTTTCCTCTGTCAGCTGTACAAGCGGTCTCCATTTATCCAACCTTCCCAGCTTTGTTTCTATCCCGTCTACTCCAGTCTCCCCCTTTTTCCCATCCCTCTCTCTGATGGGCACAAGACACCAAACACATGGAAAAACGTATTCAGGGTTCCTTTCTGACCCTGCTACAGAATGGATTTGGCACACAATGATCGACGCCTCGCTCCGGTGAGCGGAGGTGATATCACTTGAGCCCCTCGTCTGTGGTTTTGAACATGAGGATGGCGTTGGAGATCTTGAGGGCGGGCCCCAGCTTGATGCTCATTATCTTCACGATGTCAGTCTGGGTGAGCAGCAGCAAAGCTTCCCCGTCAATCATCTGGAGAAACACGGGCAGAGGTTGACGACAGGTTTGGTTTGCTGACAGTAGAGATCGGTGCGTCTTTTTAAAAAAATGTTTTCATCATTTGGTGGCCGTACCTCCTCTTTGAAGAGACGAGCCTGTTCTTCACAGCCAATCAAATTCTGGACGAACCTGAAGACCTGCAGAGATCCACCGAAGACATTCAGAACGATCAAAACAGAGACAGCAATGACTCCATGAACAGAAAGGCGAGCTGTGACGTTTGCCGAACCTCATCGACGCTCCATGCTGCCACCTGGCTGGCATGGATGCCCTGAACGCCCGGGAGCAGCTTACAGTGCTGCTCCCAGCAGAGAGACAGAGTCCGGTCGGACTGACCGGTCAGAGCCGACATGAACAGGGACGGGTAGACTCCCTCTGAGGACATGTCTGGACAAAAAGAACAAGAAATGGCCTGAGCACTCAAACAAGCTACATGGGTAAAAAAAAGGGGGCTCAACAGAAACAAGGTTAAAAATGAACATAAATCCTTTGACAAAAGGATTTAACACACTAACATCTGAATGGTCTATTCTCACATTATCAATATTTATTACATGACTGAAGCTTTTTAAAATACCTCATTCACTCTGCAGTCTATATGCAAATACATAGATATTAAATAACAAATGCAGCCATGTGAACAAATGAGAAAACCCAATTTAAAGTATCGCTGTCTGATCTTTATTTGTGTATCTCTGGAAAATAATGTGATTTGATGACTATTACAAACAAAAACTGACTTGAATTAACTTTAATAAAAGAACAACAAAATTGTAGTTTCTTTATGAGAGCAAAGTTAGGACACCTCACCACTGTTAATGGTTTTAGTTCAAATAACGTCTCGTAGCCATTTATCAGTCTTTGACGTCAGTGTGAGGAAGGTTTTCCTTTCAGCTGCAAGATGTTTGATAAGGAGTTTCTTAACATGCACAGATTGTTCCAATTCACCCCAGACCATCTCAGTGAGATGAAGGTCAGGGCTTTGACTATGCCCGGGATTTTCCATTACTTATTTCTAAGCCAGTCTTTGTGGATTTTCTGGTATGCTCTGTGTCATTGTCATGTTTTTTTTACATTTTCCTCTGGGACTCTCTGGGTGTTTGGTGCGTTCTATGATGCTGAGGTAGTTCTGACTGCATCGAAGATCCCCGAATCATCACACTTCCACCGCCGTGCTTCACAGTTAGCAGGAGGTTGATGACCTAGAATGCTGTCTTTGGTTTAATCCCCCCAAAAATGTCCCCTGTTCTGGTGTCTAATTAATTCAGTTTTAGAGACATCTGCCCAATGAAAGCTTATAGCGTAGAAACAACAACAGACAAAACCTTACTCTGGTAGTCCCTCTGTTGGTTCTTTCTGTATTTGGGTGGACGACCAATCCTTAAAACAAGAAAATATCTTTGTGACACTTGAATAAAACTTCCAGTCATTAGAAGGACACATATTGATGCGTCCGGGTTTCTACCTGCCGCGGTAATGAGTTTTCTTAGACCTCTGGCCAATGAAGACGTTTCTCTTGCACTCGGAGTCCGACAGGTCGGCCTTCAGCCTTCCCTGGTTGCGCTCGGCCAACGGGCAGCCGGATATGCAGTGATGGGCCGTGAACCGACCGGTCACATGACCTGAACCATCACAACCCGGGGTTGGGCACTTCCTGTTTCAAAGACAGAGCCCCAAATGAAAATTTGCATCCAGAGCAGTAAAAGGACCTCCTACATAATTTACAGTTTTTTTTGTTGATCATTTCAGTTTCCACATCTAGACATTTAATGTTTGGTGATGAATACATTTTTCATATGTTGACATTTTTAGATTTTAGAATAGAAAGAAATGGTTCCAGTGACAGCTATACATTTAATGAATATATTTACATTTCAATTTTAATTGGTAGCATTCAAACAGGTCAATTGTTGCATTTATCAGCTCAACAATGTGCTCTAGATTCTTTTTTTTTTTTGTTGTTCCAGAGATGTGTTATTATGCTTCAGCTCAAAGCAATATGTGTTTAAAAATGTGCAGTTTTTTTATGTCACTGGATGAGCAGGTCATTCCTGACCTGTTGTGGAAACTGTACTTGTTGGTTCTGGGGTGGCTGATGGGTTTGCAGGGGACCGTGGTGGGGTAGGTGTTCTGACCCAGAGCAGGAGGCTCTCTCACACCTAAATGTTTGCAAAAATAAAAATAAAAAAAGAACATGGTGAATAATCACATAAACAGTGAACAAATCCTGAATGTAGCCCAGTCCTGTAAAGATCAATCAATGAAGAGTTCTTCTGTCTAGACCAAGACTTAAAAAGGAAAGCTTTGGAAAGCTATTTCTCTTAATAAATGTAGTCATTATTTGAGAAATACTTTTTGTATTTACCCAGATTATCTTTACCTAAGTCCCTCAAATAAACATTTAAGAGACAAAGAAGGGAAGAAATCTGGAAGGATACAGTACTACATAGAAACGAACAGAGTCATGACTTCCTGTCGTTACCATGCGGCTGCTGACTTTTCGCGTCCCGAGGAGGAACTTTCAGCGGGTGGCCAGTCGCTTCGCACCACCCTGCTGGGTGGATGTCTGGGTGATCTGAGTCCATCCACTCGTCGTAGACGTGACTCCAACCATCATAATGCACCTGGGAAAGGAGAAACAAACGAAGTGAAGTAATGAGACAAACATTCAAAACGAACACGACTGACTGCAAAATGTGATGTCAGGTAGATCGATCAGGGGTTTATAACATCACACAGACATGCTACTCAGATGAAGAGTGCTACCTTAATGCGATGAGTCTCCACTTCTTCCACTGTCACCACTCGGATCAGACCAGGACTTCTCTTGTCCACGGCCTCCAGTTTCATCTGAGGCTGGAAGCTGTGAGGAGGCCTCTGCAAAACCAGTATACTTATAGCAAACATGTCTAACGTACTCTAAGAAATAGAAGAAGAAAAAAAGAAAAGAAAAACAGTTGTTGTGTTTCTTTATGTACTCACCACTTTAAAGGCGTCGGCAGCCACAGCCTTGGCGCCGGTCTCCTCCAGGTACCGAGACCAGGAAAACTGTCCGGGATCGGGATAATCTGGTGCAGCAGAAAACACTTTTTATGGTGTGAATATGTACTTTTCACTTCCTGCCAACAACAACTGTTCAACAATTGTGAACAAAGCGTGTCCAAAATTCATATTAGTGGAAAAAAGAAATGAAAAACATGAGAAAATAGTGTCTAGATGTAAAACGGACTTAAATCACATTTACAGAAATAAAGTGCTTCATGTATGAAAGTAAAAGGTGAACAAAAAAATTGCAGGGAAAATGAAGGATGGATAAACGTGATTTGGGGTATTTGAAAAAAAGTTATAGATGTAATTATTACTGGTAATATTGTGCTGGTCACCTTGGGGCGGCGTCAGCGGAAGGTTCCTCTCCTGGCACCAACCAACAGGATGGATGTACGGGCTGCTGGCGTCACACCTGCACAGGTTAAAATCAGAATGAACTGAAGTGCAAAAAATAAAAATAAAACAAAAATGAGTTGCTAGTGCAAGACAAGAAAATTTACTTTAAAAAATTATTCACTGGCATTCCATGTATTCTGTGTGTCAAAGATTCTTACCAAAGTATCTAAAATATGATGTATTTTATGTTTATGTTTTTTTGTATAGAAATGAGTATACAAAAAATTATTAAGACAAATAGAAATGAGTAAAGAAATCTATAAGAGGTACAAACTGTAAATATTTAAAATAAAAACAAAAAAAATGAAAGGCATCCATTTTTCTCAATCAGGTCGGGTTTTTATTCTAATTTGATTTTGCGAAATCCTATCTTCTGATTCAGTTGATGACATTTATGTGACATTATCAGTTAATTTCCCTTAACATTTCCTGTCCAAAAAAGACTTTAGGAGAAACAAATAGTGTGTTAATTAAATGTTGCAAACTCGGATTTCTGTAAATTGAAAAACAAACACTGATGAGGGTACGTACATGTGAATTGAAAATTACGTCTTCATTGTGAAAAATGCTCAATTTCTTTTCTGTCCTGATTGAGTCTCTCCTGATCATCACTCATTGATCCCGGATTCTCAGGAAACCGATAAATATATGAGAGTAAGTCACGCATTCTGATGCTCATGTTGCATCCATAGTTCAGAAACTTGACCTGATTGAGTAAAACCAGTGTGGTTTTTGGATTCAGCACGTCAAAATCACCCTAAAACACTTGAAAAACCCCAGGCAATTGTTTTGGCTCTTGATCAGTGTTATCATGAATAAAAAGCCAAGAGTGGCAATAAAAAAATTCTTCAAAGGAAAAATTTAGATACAAAATGACCAAATGAGAAGACAACAAAGCCAAAATGACCTGCAGATTCCAAGAGCTTACCAGTAGTCGTACGTATCATCCCAGTTGTCAAAATGAACCAGGAAACGGTTGTCAACCACGTCTGTGACGGTTGCCACGCAGATGAGCGAGGGATTCATCCGGTCGACGGCTTCCAGCTTCATTCCTGTCTCAAAGCCACACTTTACGTCCATCTGAGCAACGAGCACAAAGAACAACTTACAGACAAACACGTCGGGATTCGCTAAGACAAATAAAAACAGCAAAGTGAAGGCAATTGGTCCAGAGATTTCTTTCTTATTTCAAGCAATGCCATCTCTCTAAATTCCACAAACATTTAGTAACGATATATTAATCCAGCTAATAAAAAGCAGAACAAAAACAGAATTCGGTTTCCTGGCGTTGAACCTGTCAGCTCCTGGTGTTTGCAGCTCATATGCGCAGCATGAATCGTACTGTGCAGTGGCACTTACCCTCCCAGGACTGGCAAAAAGTTCTTTGGGAGCAACTTGAGCTTTAGTCATCCTCAGATAGTTGGTCCATGTGAACTCCTCCTCCTTACAACCTCCAGAAACAACAGGGAGACAGGGACAATGAGCGTCCGCTTCCAAACCTTTAGGGGTAATTATCCTGTTTTAATATATGTTTACACTGTAGCATGGCACTGCTTCTTTATGCAAATTACTTTAAAACCTCATTTTTAAACATTTAAGTTGATGAGATTGTGCCAAAATAGAAATATTTGCTACACCTTTGCTAGCACTTACACAAAAGTGTATTTATTCCCTGCCTTTAATTACTAACAAAAAAAAAAAAACTATTTCATTATGTATTCATTTCAGCTGATTATTATTTTTTTACTAGTTGAGTAAACCCCGAATATGGCTCCAATAGAAAAAACTTAATAAATATCGACAGAAGGCTGCACATTTTGGATAAATGTTTGAAAAAATGAGAAAACATTTTTCTTTTTTTACAGCTGAATTATTTGGTCAAAATACAAAAAAAAAAAGGGTTGTGAAATTTGTGTGTTTACAGATGCCATGACCTCTGACCTTTCGGAATGTGCAGCTTGTGTCCCGTGCTCTCGCACCAGCCTGCCGGGTGGATGTCGGGAGAGTTTGCGTTCACCCAGAAGTCGTGGCAGTCAGAGTAACCGTCAAAATGGAGCCGCAGCCGGTAACCGCACACCTGCAGCGCGACACACACGTTAGAGCGGCAAAACCCGGAGGAGGCCGCCTGACCCCCATCCTGCTCTGACCGCTCCATGGACGAGCCGCGATTTGTTAATCAACGTTGCTCATCGTGGTCTTTGTGAGCGACAGGCTGAATGTCTGGTTGCACGCGTGGCTCACCTCAGCCACGGTCAGAACAAAGTACATGGAAGGATGCTGCGGGTCGATGCCTTCCAGCTTCATCCCCTGCTTGAAGCCGTTCTTCACAGTGGGGACGGTCTGCGCCTGAACGCACGGGGACAACAAACTCGTCACTCACTTCAGCAGAGATGAAAGATATACAGATGAAGACTAAATTCATCTGTATGAATTACACTGAAAAAAATTGCATAGAAACTTTTAAATTTGTTTTTATCTCACACAGAACAGTTCAGAAAGATGCAGCCTGGCTCCCTTTATCGGCAGGAGGGAAAAATCGGGAAAATCCTATTAAAAAAACGCAACTAAAGCATTTTAATTATTGTGAGTGAATGTCTCGAGGAGCTTGGATTAGAAATCCCTGACTTCTGTTTCAACCACTGTTTCCCAGTGGTTGAAATAAGAGACAATTCAGAGGTCAAATTTCTCCAAGCTGTCGGCCGCTCGGCTGAAAGAGGAACTAAATTATCTTTCCATCAGACACAATGAAGGGGATAGCGGAGGAAGTAAAGAAACGTCTCAGCAAACTTCTGTCATTTTAAATGTCAAACGTTTTCAAATTCTTATATTTAACACTAAAATTCTTCTAATGTCTGGCAGATTGGGTTTTAATATGATTTTCATTCAACCAACAAATTTATTTCTGAAAGGGAATGACACAGAATGCTAAAAGATTATTAGTTTTCTAAAAACAACACAAAAAACTGAAAATGTTTCCATTTATTTACACTAATATTTTGTTTATTTAACTTTAGTGATGACCTCAAACTCCTGTGTATGCAGAAGTCTTTACCTGCAGAATTAAAACTTGGCTTTCATAACTTTACATCAAACCAGAGGCAATTTCTGAAGAAGCATCAACTATGAATATTGTTTATTTAGGTTGATTGTTTTGGAGGGTTTTCTTTAAACATAATTGTTTTTTAATATGCATCTTAATGTGATTTAGAGCTGTAAATGTTACAGTTCATGGCACTTAATAACAGCTTATGCCTTTTTTCTATACAACTACAGTCATAAACCTAAAGAAACAAAACTGACTGCTGGAGAACTGCAGGGAAGAGTGAATCAGATTGGATTACATTAGATGCTATCGACATGCTAGCTGGTTGTTTAGCAGCTGCAGGGTAAGAAATCTGGACACACACTTACACACACCCTCCACATCAGGACGTTTAAAAACAGATTAAAAACACTAAATGCAAACAGATTCTCTTTAAAAATCGACCCCCTCAAACTCCAAAGAAATATGACGTAAGAAAAATCTCAAAGGTAAATGTTTTTCCTATATTTCCTCTTATTCTTGGATGATTTGCTATTTTATATTTATGCTGCAAGTTATAAAAAAAGGAAGAGAAGGATACCTCATGGAAGAGCTTGTTGGGGGCAGCAACAGATTTGGTTTCCTCCAGATACTGAGTCCAGGTCCATTGTTCAGTTTTACTGTCTCCACCTTCTCAAAATAATATAAATCAGAGTATTTCCTTATGAGATGCGGCTCTGAAGCTTTTGTTAAAACTACAGACAGAGAAGAATAATGGTTATAATTAAATATTGACTGGAATGGAAGAAGGCAGAAAAAGCGAAGGAGTCAGCTCTAAAACTCGAGTTAATAGCCAGATTAACAAATTATCATTCGTTATTTTATTCATCACGTCATTTTGCAAATTTGAAACTTAAATCCAGCACTTTCAAGCACAAGAATGGGAAAAGGGAACAATAACCTCCTCTGATGAGTCGACCATCTGCTTTAGAATAATCCATCTTCTCATCCTAGAAAATATGTTTGAAATGAATTAAACACAGGAATTCTGTTGTATTTTATCTGAAAGAACATCTTGAAACTGAAACCTATCAAATCCCACAAGAAGCAGCAGCTTCACACTAAATGAAAAGCAAATAGAGAGCGAACTGCTGTCCCACCGTTCCCTCCATGTCAGAGTCTTCCTCGGACGGACTCAGGTACTCCTTCCTCTTCCTCTTCCTCATGGGCTTCAGGTGGTCTGGGTTCAGAGAGGAGACCCTCCCACCTGCAGGCACCTTCTCCACGCTGACACTTCTCCTACGACAAATGAGAAATGTGATGCAAAAAATCAAACTTCCCCTCAGCGAGGGAGATGAAGCCGCAATGAATTGCGCTGTTTGGTATTGAATTCAAATTTGACTAAAATGTGCTGAACTCATTGATCGAATGCGATACACTGAAAGAAAATTCATTTGAACCGAATTTGACTTTGGTTGATTAGAACTGATTTAACTGGGTTGGAATGAAATTTGATTAAATATGAATTTCATTCATGTGACCAGAATTAATTGAGTTGAATTTGCTTGCACAAAAAAAAAAAAAAAAAAACTCAATGTTTGTTTTGTAAGCGTACTTGTCTGAGACAGGGTCCCTGCGGAGCTCCTCCACGTAGCTCCTTTGTGCTCTTGGATTGTGGTTCTGTTGCTCCGGCCCCACCTGGGCCTCGGGTTTGACAGGAACCAGCCTCTCTGGCTCCACAGCAGCGGCGGCGGCGGCTCTCACGGTACCGACAGGGACAGACACTTCTGGAGCTGAGAGGAATTAAAAATTCATATTCAGTTCCCGGAAAACCGCATTTGTCTCGTTATTGCCGAACGACGCTGCGGACATGCAGCTGCAGCCTCTTGACTTCTCCACAGGAGCTCTGCTGCAGCTCGCGTAATTGTTGCTCATCTGCGCTTCATTCAGTGCACACAAGGTAGGATCACTGAATGGAGAAAATATTACATATGCAGGAAATAGCAGTGTGTCAATGTAACCGGTCCGGCGGCAAAACGAAATACACTTAGCATTACGGAAGAGTATTTAATGCTGCTTGGTTCAGTGACATAAACCCATATTTAAATTATTGTGCAGCTCATTTTCTGCTGTTTATTTCCAGTTACCAATCAAAACTATCTCTAGAAGCACAAATGTAAAATTAGTCAAATATAAGCAACATGAAATCTATTCAGTTCTATGGTTCAATCAGCTTGTTTAAACAATAATGCTGAGGCAGCATCACGTTCACAGCAACCAGCCGGATGAATCACTAACTGGCTATTTTATTTCTTCATAACCATTTAGAGAATATTTACCAAATTCTGTTCAAAATGTACAATGTCTAGACTGGAATATTCAACACAGGTTAAAACATTTTTTTAAAGTACGATCTGTGAAAGCTGTGATGCATTTGTGAAAATCTACAAAAAAGTGAGCAATTCCCCTGGTAATTTTATGTTTACACCAATGAAAACTTCATTTCATAACTGGATAAAGTTCATCTCGATTATTCTTCATGCATTAAAGGCCTTTTAATGGTCTGCAAAATTTGTATTCTTATTGTAAAAATATCTTTTTGAGCATTCATGTCGTTTTTACCAGCTGAATTTGCACTCTGGATTAGTCTAACACAATAAAGAGTTCCCATTACTGTTAAATATTTACTCTTTTCATCCTTCATGAAAATATAAATACATCCCAGTTTAAATCCTGGTTGTTATATCCGGGACATTTTTTATTTTTGTACGGTGTAAAAAGTGAAGCGTTTTCATTAAAATGCTGTATTTTGTCTTGTTTCCAGTGGTTTGGTGACTCTACCTGGTTTGTCCGGCGGGCTTTCTGCCCCGATGGACCGTCCAGACGTCCCTGCCGCTGGGTCAGTGGGGCCGCTGGTGGTCCCTGGGGTTATCAGCGTGCTCAGAGTGCCTACATCACTCACACAGAACTGCGACGTGCACAGAAGAGGGCCCGTTTGTGAAAATGAGTCAGACTTTCGGCCTCTCACGCAGGCACAGGATGTGTAAAACTAGTTCTGATATAATTCTGGCTCTTTCTGCTCCACAATAAGATTCGATGAACTGCATTATGTAGGAAAGCAACTAACAAAACATGTGGGAGAACCTGCTTTGATTAACATAACTCCCTAAAAGCTAACATGCACCGATCCTTCTGTTTCTGTTTCTCTGTGCACTGAACACTTCAGAGCATCAGATCAGAAACAGGATCTCACCTTGAGGTTGCTACTGGGCAGAATGGCCATCCCCTCCTTCCACTCGAGGACATGGACGATGCTACAAGCCCCCCCAACCTGTGCTGTCAGGGTGGGAGCAGCTATCTCATTTGGTCTGCTGCCTTTACCTGGGTTTGCCACAGCGAGAGCTTGAGTCAGTTCCACTTTCTGGTGACCAGGAGGAGCTGCAGGAAACACAACATGCATCACTGTTAGTGCGTCGTTTCTTACTGCGATCAACGAAAGTAACCGTTTGATTTCGATGTCAGAGAAAGGATATCACTGTTAGCTAAACTAGAGATAATTACATCATGTGACATAAATGTAAATGTACAGAAGCTGGAGCGCCATCATCATATCAAGACCTCTATCAATTACTCTCAAAATGCAATCTTCTTCCCTGAAGATTCATTTTTCTGTTCATCTCGGTTTTCCATCGGCGTGTGAAAACAAAAATAAAACTCTGTCCATTTTACATGACAAACAGGTATAATTTAAATCCAGTTGCTTCCACTTAATTTTATTTCATATATTTTAGTAACAACAGTAACAGTCCAACTGGTCTGATAGTGCAATTCTAAGCCAATCTAATTATTAAAAAGTTACCTAAAACAACAGATTACAATGCTGTAGGAAAGTAATAGATTTTCAGTTCTTTTGACTGTTTTCACTTTGTTGTTATCCTGAAATGTTTCAGTTTATCAACAATTCAGATGAAGCAGAAAGCTTGTAATAAGTGTTTTAAATTACTGTGGAGGATTTTTTTGGTTTTTTTGCCCGCTCTTCTTTGCAGAATTACCTAAATTCAGCCACGCTGAACAGTCTGCTTCAGGTCACACCACGACATCTGAGGTCCAGACTTTATCTAGGCAGCTGCATTTTAGGAGATGATAACCTAAACGTGCTTGATTTTAAAACAGAAACTGACACCTAAAATATGTGTCAAGGTGTTATTGTTTCTGGATATGGATAAATAATTTAAAATAAGTCAACTTGCTAAGTGGACGTGATCAGTGACTAGAAATTACACAGATCCAAAAGGGATCTACTGACCTGGTTAAGTGTGTGGTTCTAAAACTGTAACAAGACAGTTTGGGCTAATTGGGCTGCTTTGATTTGTAAGCAGGGTCATTTTTGCAGAATTATTTGCAATTTAAATACAAATTGACTCATTTAAATGTATCAGTAACAAGCCCTAAGTTCAGAGGAGATCATTTCAAGAACTTTCCACAAACTGAAGGAAGCGCTGGTGGTGGCTAACGCTGCGTTTTTCTTTAACATTTTCCATGAAATGACTGTTGAGCTTCTTTAACAACGTAAGAACCAAGCAGCATGAGTGGCTGAACAGAAACACTAATTGCAGCTCGTTAATGTGTCATTATACCTGGCAAGAGGAGAGCTGTGGTGGTGGTGGCGTGGGGCATGGCTCGTGCTTTCTTGGCGACATTGTCACAGATGAGGATGGTCTCGCCGGCAGGGGAGGGCGATGGGTCAGTAGTTGTACCGTCAGCTTCTTTGGGTTGAGTGTCCATGTTTACTTTGCCACTCATTGGTGGCTCCCTTTTTCTTGTGTTGGACCGCTGAAAAGTCAATAAACAACAACAAAAAAAAAAATTACTAAAAGACTAAGGGGTTTATAATGACTAGCAATTTTTATTATTATTATTATTCTGAAAAACTTTCACAGCACTCAGGTTTCCAAAGGTTCAGTTGTCTAAGAATCAGATTCCAAGTCTTTTGTGGTAATGGACCCTAATTTTACCTAACCACACCACTGATCCGTTAACTGTGTTCTTTGGTCTTTGCGATGTTGTTTGTCCACTAATGTTCCCAAACAAACCTCAAAAAACCTTGCAGAGCAAATCTGTCACACAAAGCTAGGTGCCTTCAGAAGTGAGTTGGCTTCACTGGATTGCATTTAGGGGCATCAGGGCAAAAAAGGGCTGCGTTCAAATGCATGCCACACTTTTTAGATTTATGCGAAACATGCCTTAGAGATCATTTCTCTTACACTTCACAAATTATCCACAACTTTATGTTGGGTCTTTGTCAAAATTGTAAAATGTTCAAGGAGAATTGATACGGAATACCATGTTTAACTAAAAGAAAATCCATAATTTTTGTGCCCTGTTTTACTTTTTAAGGGTTTGTTGACCTTAATCCATGTCACAAACTGTGTAAAGATCGGGTTGGATTTGGTGCCAAAACTGTCTTTGAATGGTAGCCTGTTTACAGAAGCAACATTTATTAAAAAAATTAAAATTAACCCAGAAATAACGATTTAATAAAAAAATAACAAAGTCCTTCCAAGAGGAACGCTGAATTTACTTTCACAAAACTACCAGACAGACAATGACTCCCAAACAACCATCCATTACATCCAATAAAATCAGGCAACAATGGTGACACGCAAATATTTACGCACAAGCATTCAAGTTCACACACACACACACACACACACACACACACACACACACACACACACACACACACACACACACAAAAATACAGCATTTCAGTTAAAATGGCGGAGGTTCTGAAACCCACAAACCAAAACAAAAAATGTGAAAAACCAAAACACTAAGTCCTTTAAAACCCACAATTACATACAATAAAAGAACCTACCAATTTCGCCATAGGCATCTTTAATGAATTAGTATTCTCACCCACACAACGTTAAGCATGTCGGACACCGTAGTAACAAAAATTGCAGCAGCCTAGTTTTATTATTTTAAAGACTAAGTCTTCGGCCATAATTGATCAAGTAATTGTTCTCTTGTATCGAAAAGGCTTCTGGTTGAATACAGCCATACCGTAAAAAAAAGAAAAAAAAAAAAAAAAAAAAAAGGATGCACCTAAAGGACATTTTGAAAATAAAATCAGCAAGCACACAAACCGGAGCCCGTTCTTATGAGGCGAGGTGAACAGCATCTCCTGGTCCGCTTTAAAATACTTACAAACGTGAAAGTAAAGGCGTTGGCAACATTTAGGAAACTGACATTTGGCTTACCAGCGCTGCTTTCCTGCGGCTCCGGGGCTCAATTTGCGCATGCGCGCAGCTCCAACACAGTAGCCTGATCGCTTATTTCTTTTCCTGACGACAGAAGGGCTTCTTTAGCCGGCGCTCAATGTTTAACATTTGAATTTATATATATTCGGGTTTATCGAGTAAACTGCTGACCGGACCGGATGGCCTATCATTTTTAAATAGACGTTTAATCATAGAACAGGATATTTTCACAGCCAGAGCCACTTTGAAGACAGACCACTTACATAATTAGCACGATATAGGTCACGTCAATACTGCAGTCAATTCTAGTTTTTTACCCAATAAAGCACGTCACGTTCTTTTCAAGCTCTTTAATTGAACATACAATAAAAAAAAAACATTTTATTCATTGAGGGGGAAAAATTAAATTGTTGGGACAAAATGACGACGCTGCATTCAGCTCATCATTTCGAAGCCAACAAAAACGCACAACATCCGAATTGTTTTAACCTGAAGAGAGTGACACCTGAAACCAGGAAGCGTGGAAAATAAACCGAACGGGCCAGAATCCAGAGGAGCTATGGTCAGGAAAGTATCAGCACTATTGTCTACTCTCACTCAATTTAACCATTGCCTCAATATTCCTAAGAATTTAGGGGAAAATACATCCTAGCACAGCTTATGAACAATTTTATAAAAAAAAAAAAAAAGCATAACCCAACTACAAAGCAAGACGTACAAAAGTACAACAAACTTTTCACAATGTAATTATGAAGTTTAATAGTACACGCTCTTCCTGCAAAAAAAAAAAAAGGCCCATAGGAGAAAAACCTGCATCAGTATCCAACAATCATAACTCTGCACTTCATAAAACTTAAACAAAATGTCTTTCTATAATCCAGGAAAAGTAAGAATGATGGCAAATTGTACACAGTGTGCCACAAGCAAATTTACTGGTAACGGTGACCAAAGAATATTTTACCTTGTTCATACAAAGCCAGAAAAGATTTTATTGAAAACATACTTAATAATAATAATAATAAAAAAAAATATCTATGGGCTACAAAATGAGTCTCAAGGGGAAGACTACTCAAAACTTAGGATCAGAAATCTTTTACATAGGCAGGTTTCCAAAAACAGCCCTGACAATGTGCATTTATTGATGGCATGTCAAAACAGCACTCTGAAGAGAAAAGGTAAGGAAGCAGAAGCCTGTGACACTGCTTGCTATTTACAGCATTATAATAAAACTCAAAAATGAAAAAAAGAGGAGGGGGAAAATGTTTCCCACATCTAATCTTGAGAGGCTGATCTAGATTGTGAACGAGACCTTGAGCGGGAGACTGAGCGGGACGCCGACCGCTTCTCTCTGGATTTAGATCGGCGTTCGTCTTCCTGTGGGGACGGGGAGCGGGACGCTGATTTGGCGGTGTGCTCCTCTTTCCCGTTCTCTACAGGGGAAGCTGAACGGCTGCGGGACTTCTTGTTGTTGCCTTCACCAGCACCAACATCCATCTCCTTGGATCTGCTACGAGAATCCCGCTCCGACTTGACCTTAGAACGGCTCTTGGAACGGGACTTTGATTTCCGGTCGGCGGAACGGGAACGAGATTTCTGTGAGCGCGAGCGAGATTTGGATTTATGGGATCCAGAACGAGATCTGTTGGTGCGAGAGCGCGATTTCCGTTCTCCCGACTTGGAACGAGACTTCCTCTCAGACCTCGAGCGAGAATGATGCCTTCTCTTGTTGCTACGGGAACGAGACCTAATGGCGAGAAAGAAATTATTCTCGTGACGTTTTGTAGATTTGCTGAGATTGACCAAAAACAAAGCTCTTAGCTGACTCAAAACATTTCAATGTGAACTTACCTGGAGTGAGATCTGGAGTGACTCCTTGAGCTCCTGTGGCTTCTGCTGCGGGAGCGGCGGCGACTTCGAGATCTGATGACAGACGAGGAATCAAACACAAGTTAATTTTTTTTAATCAGAAGATTGTTTTCCAGAGGAAAAAAAAATGTTATCCGTTTTTTAAATCCACGAGTAATCCCACCTGGAGCGGCTGCCAGAGTAAGACCTTCGTTTGCGAGGTCTGTCCTCCACCAATCGAATCTTTCGCCCGTTGATGTCTGTGCCGTCTAACTTGTCCATGGCCCGTTTCATGTCAGAGTGAGTCCGGAACTCTATCACCCCTTCGTTGGTCCGCTCCTTGTGGGCATCGGCATACGTCACCTCGCCTGCCTGACGCATGAAGTCCTTCACGAGACAGAGACAAATATAACGATGTGCTCACAGTTTCAGCATTCAACGCTTGACGAAGTAAATTAAAGAAGAAGAAAAAAATGGCTTACCTTGAGGTCCTGCCAGCTGCAGCGGCTTGACAAGTTTTCCACAATGAGGCGGTACTCTGTACGGACTGGAGGGCCATACTTGTCCCTTCCAGAGCGGCTCCTGCTGCTGCTGCTGCTGTAACCACTACCTTTAGAGACGACAGCACACACAAACATGCTTTAGAACAAACTAAAAGTGATACGGTCAAGAAAACTACTGGTCTGTACTACTGAATGAAAACAGGCCAGATCAAACTGGGGAATATATTCAAATAGGAGTCCCTCAGATCCCTATCTCCTTCACAGAATAAGAGATAAGAGATTTTATCAGCCACTGCAAAGACTCTTTAAAAGTCTATAGCATTCACATTATAAAGATGCTTGCTGCTGCAAAGAACACCACTGATTCTAATGCCAGCAAAGCAAAGGCTTTTAACTAAAGTGTATATCGTATAGAAATGCTTTGGCTGGACAGTGATGTTCTTTCAGACCCTCTGAACCCTGTAACAAAAAGAGAGGAGGCATCCACATGGTGTTTAGTCAAGGAGGCTGGCGAATTCAATTGAGTCTAAATGATACAATGACTTTTCTAAGCATTTCAAACTGGTACCTTACCAGATGCTAGTCTGGTGCACCCTTCTTCCCAGTTTTGCACTTACATATTTTCTTTAGATTGTAAGTTGTTCAACTACAGCCGATCCAGTCATGTTTGCGGTCAACATAGAAACCAATGGCAATCCTCACCATCACCCCTGGTCTATTGGCAAAAGGCTGCTGTCATCATGGCTTCCGGTTAGGTCAGCCAAGGATCAAGGGGGCAAAGGTCACACACACATTGTAAGGTGAAAGCCAAGGCCAAACGGGACAGGCAGTCATCTTAGCCAGTCATCTTTAGCCTCAATGGACTCTCAGCCTCAGCCCGCAGCTGGACTCTTTCAAATTGAAACATCAAGGACTTTTGTTAATGTTTAATATATAGAAAAATATAGAGAAATGCCAAAGTTAGCAAATACACAAATTAACGAAAAAGTGTTAGTTAAGTCCTAACCTCCAAGCACAATGTACACTTGCTATATTGGTTTAAATAATGTAAATATGAAGTAAATGAGTCAAAGAAGTATTAGAAAGAATTTTAACTTACAAAATGATTTCAGTTTACACTATGAAGAGCACTATGGATCGTCATACACCCTGACCTGCAGTTATTTACTCGTTCCCATCAAGAAACCGCTGTTTAATGCAGGGCGGCTCATGATCAGGGGGAGCAAAAACCCACAGGTCAGCGACTATTAATGGAACTAAAAACAACTTTAGAGTGGGGTGGGATTTGACCTAAACAAACAAACAAAAAACAAACAAAAAAAAAAAGCCAAAGAAAACTGTAATATGACCACAGATGAGTTTGGGAAAACAAAGTACTTCGTTTAGTCAAACTACTGCTTACACACGTGAAGAAACTAAATTTAAAAACTACAAAAAGTTTGAGATATTTTTCTTTTAAGAAAAGCATGCACTAAATGCGTGTATCCCAGGGCTCTCAGTCAAAATTATTTACCTGGGAAAAAACATAAAATTAACAAATACGAGTCAACCAGACATCAAATGCTCAACAAATTTGATTGATTTATAGCTAAAAACTGTTCTCTTCGTACTCTACACTGGAACCTCACCCTGAAGGGAAGGGGGAAAGAGAATATGGTGTAACAGATGGCACTTACTGCGCCCTCCGCCCCAGTAACCCCCACCGTAGCTATCGCGGTCTCGCCGTGGGCCCCGGGCATGCTCAACGATCACCCGTTCCCCGCACAAATCCTTTCCGTTCAGCTCATACACGGCATCGTCGGCATCCCGGTTGTCCTCAAACTCCACGAATCCATACCTGCGGGAAAGAATACGGTTCAACGCCAGGCCAGAGAACCACATTCCATCTAATAATAGCAATTCAAGAACACACATCAAGCGGCTAGCTTGGCTAGCTAGGCCCACGCTAGCGCTCCAATGTAGAAAATTCAAAGCCGCCATGTTGGCCATGCGGCATTTGCTACACCGAGTCGAAAGTCAGCTAATAAACTTAGGTTTAACGATGTATTTTCGGTTAAAATCAGCATATAACATTTTATGAAGCGACATTTACCAATTGGATCAAAGAATTTTTGAGTTACGGCGTTAGCATTTCCTGCACTTAACGTCGTTCAAGATCAGCGATTCCGAAGCTACGAGAAACGTTCGCATGTTCAGCCGAAACTCACCCATTTTTCAAGTCGATTTCCATTAGTTTTCCATATCCGCTGAAAAACCGCTGAATGTCCTTTTCGCGGACGTGATAACTTAGTCGTCCGATGTAGACTCGAGGCATGTTTATTTGCTATTTTAGGCAACGCTGTTCTCGACTGTTCCTTGAACTCCTAGCGTCGATTCAGTCACAACCTCAGTTACGACGGTTTCACCCGAGGCCAAAACCAGCCAATTAGAGTGAAGCTAAAGACTATGGTACTTCCTGTCCGGAATTTTCAAAATAAATGACCAGATATTTTCCCAATGCATTTGCTAGAAATGTGTGCGATTCTCTCATTTTAAACCGTTAAATGTTTATAAAAAGTGTTCCTTGTGGTGAATATCCAAACTTTAAAGCTGTTAGAACAAGGCAGCCAAGGTTAAGACCTAAATTCAGTTGACATTCTGTAGCAAGAGTTAAGAACACATTGAAATGTTAGTCCTTTTAGGTGCAGTTAAGATTTAAATCCCCAAAAATCTTGCACTTGGAACTACAGCAAAATGTAAGTATTAACAAAATGGTGAAGATAAGGCAGATCAAATTTTGGACTTATAGCATTAATATTTTTCTCCCTGTTCCCAAGTTATGCAGTGTTGATTTATAACAGAAAATGCTAACAATAAGGCATTATGAACACTCAAG